TGTAATGGCCAAAATTAAACGTATGACCATTCAGTAGTCCGTACAATGGTCTGAAAAATCAGACTACTACTTATTGGCTCTATAGCTCCTAAGTCGATTTGACTACTAATACCGGTAGTCGTTATTTTCCCAATTTTTTTAGGGAAGTTCTAAGTTAGTATTGTCCTTCAAATGCCGTTGGAATTTAACCTTTTCATTTTTTTTGGCCTGCAAATGGGACATAGTACCTTTAAAGCTTATCTGCCGTAGATAATCAGGTGAGTGAAAGTTTGAGCAAATTCTGAATGAAAATAAGAAAGTTATGAATTATTGAAGTTGTGATCAATCAAATACAAATTGGCAACTCTGTGACTTATTATACGAGCTCTCCTTCATTTGCTTTGTGCATAATATTCCATAAAATCATGTTTTCTTCGTTATTGATGACGGAATATATATTTGTTCTTTGCAGGGGGAGTATAGAAACATATTTGCAATTATTATATTTAGGGTGCATGTATGGTTGAAATTTTTCTTGAGGAAAAATGAAAATTTTAGATTTTTTTAGTACTGAGCAAATGGAAGTTGAGCTCGCATGATACGTCATAGAGTTGCCAATTTGTGTTTGATTGATCACAACTTAAAAAATCCTAACTTCCTTATTTTTAATCGGAATTTGCTCAAACTTTCACTGACTTGTTTCTCTCATTTTTCTACTCCTATTAAAACTAACTTAATTTCAGGGTGGACTTTCCCTTTAAAGGGAGATGGTTGTCAGTTGTCAGTTGTCAGTTGTCCATGTGCAGAAGGCCATTATTCAGTGACACCAGACTTGGTGAAAATACCATTATCATTGATGGGTGTACAATAATAATAATAAACCATTCTTATACAGCGCATATCACAAAAATAAATTTAAATTTAAGTCCCTATGCGCTCAAACCTGATGAAAAATATTCAGGTATTCTCCCCCCTCCTTGTTTTACTTTACTTCTCAAAATATCATGTCTAACTCTCTCTTCTACATTACATCACTCATTGACGTTCCAAAGTCATCACCTATTTTTCTTCGATCTCAATCCAACAACTTTTTCTTCCCATTTTGTTTCTGAGGCAAAATAGTAACCATGGTTACAGTGTAACCCACGATTCCATCAAGCAATCTCCTCCTTTCTGCTTCAACTGTAATTGAAATTCACTGTCAATACTCCGCGCGCTGGAAATTGTAAACTTGTGGAAATATTGTATTTGTAGTACTCTAATATATATACTGTATTCTGCCACGATGTACAAATGTATACCGTCTAGACTATGGCGAACTGATTTTAGCTCTGCAATCTGCACTGGGAGATCGTCTAATTTCTTTTCAGAAACCTACACATCTGTTTAGAGCCAGAAGGTTGCTAACTCATGAAGTATAATTAATGCCCTTCTGGCCCTGAACAGCTATATTTTCAGTGAAATGGAACTCCTCTTCACGGTCTTAGTACATATACAGTGTATATATATTAAGAAGTATACACAATCTTATTTGGCCTTCTTGAGGGAACTTTTCGAAGATTCAAATCCAAAGGTACTTGCATGATATTATTAATTTATTAATTTATTATCATCAACATTATTATTATTATTATTATTATATAATATGTAGCTCTACAAGAACATGTATACAATAAATTTTAGAAGTCTAAAAGAGGGAAAGGAGCCTATAATGCAACTGTATGCAGGCGCCCTTGAAGAGGAAGACAATCTATAGCAAATGGAGATGGAGCTTAATGGAGCGCGAGAGATAAGCATTCAACCATTAACACTTAAAAAAGTGAGCATCAAAATATTGAAATATTAGGGTTGGAGAGTTGGATGGGCTGTACGTGTAAGTACTGGTATTAAAAGAGCCTGAAAGCATTTCTGTTGTATGACCTCGTAGTTCGTTCCATTCCAGCTTACAATCCAGATTGCAATCGATTATTCTGCAAAACTGTCTCCTAACGCTATCATTCCTTTATTTAAGCATTAGTGTGTTGCTATGTCAGACAGACCTTAACAGCCAATAATCGTGAAGGTTACAGATCTAACATTTATTCATAGTCACTTTTGTTTGTATTCAAGCATTAGTTTACAGTGTATGTTGCGATGTCAGACACACCTTTGGCAACTAAAATAGTTGTGAAGGTAACTATTACACAGGTTTACCATATACATTTATTCAGTGCTGTTATTTCGCTATCTAATCATAAGTTTGTAGTGCTATGTCAGGCAAATCTTTGGCAACCAATAGCTTGAAGGTTACAGGTTAACCATATATTCCCAGTGCTGTTATATCTTTATTTAAGGATTTGTTGGTAGTGTTATGTCAGACAGACTTTTGGCAAACCAATAGTTGTGAAGGTTACAGGTCTACAATATATTCACAATAAAATTAGCATTCATGAATTCTGAGTATGGAGATCTTTTTATCCCCTAATTGGCTTTTCACACAGCCTCCATTTCCTTTTCACCTTCTCTAAATCCCAGGAACAGTCCTTATGAAAGATTGAGATTCAAAAACTTGATATTGCAAAACTTGGAAAAGACTTATTAATGTAGTCAGGAATAGAATATAGAGACAGTACTTCCTAAAATATCCTTTGCATAACGTATTAAATGTAATACAGCTTGACATTTGAAGCTGTATCAAGATTCCAACTCTGGATTTTGTTATTGATGTGAAAAGATAAGTTCTTTGAAAGCTTTAAAAAAGAAAAAAGGAGATTTGTCCTTGGATCATTAGAGTGTCTTTCAAAGAGATGTATTTTGACATTTTCAAATGCCAAGAAATTTAGAATGATGGGTTGCACAAGATGACGTACAGGGTGTACTTAGACATAGACAGGCAATTTCATATATTAAATGTTCATCATTTGAAATGCACAGCATCTTTCTGCCGGGAGGCAGAGCCGAGCCAGAAGCAGAGGAACAGATCAGTTATGCATGCAAGGAGCACGGGGTAATTCACTTTGCAAGCCAAATCTTATGTCTCCTAATTCAATTATTGGATCATAAGCCAATAAATGGGTGATTGGAAATCCAGACTGGCCTTTTCTGCCTCTCCCTCCCTCTCTCTCTCCAACTCTCTTTTCACCACCCCCGACAGATTGCGTTTTTCGGAATGGCTACCTCGTTTGAAACGCTAGCAAACCATTCTTAGCGGATGTCGACGAATCAATCATGCTTCTGCAAAACTGCTGAACATTCCGAAGAGGACTTGACAAATTTGAATGTTAACAATGTGCCAATGTCATCATCAAATGTTAACTCGGAAAGTAGGGCTCCTTCTTTGACTGATATCACCTTACATTGAAATGTAAAACGAATCATACAAACGTCACTTTATGACACACTTGTCTACTTTGAACACATTTTGGACTCCTGAACCATCTTTGAAAAGAGTTTAATTTGAATACACACTAGAAGCCTATTCTCTGTAACATAAAGTCTACTTGTACCATTCGATCCAGACAGAAACGAATCGTCCATCCAAGAGTTAGAGACATGCTTGTATGCTTATGTGACTTGATGGTGGGGAAAACCTGGCAGTAGGGCTGTGCACAACAGTGTAATGAGGTACCCGAGTACACTCCCAGGCTCACAGGCGAATACTCGAATATTCGGACGCCATGTTTTTTAATAATTTTTTTGAATTTTTTTGAATTTTTTTGAATTTTTTTGATTTTTTTTGAATTTTTTTGATTTTTTTTTAATTTTTTAATTTTTGGATTTTTTTTCTTTTTTTTCTTTTTTTGCCACTACCATACCACTCGGCAGTTTCTCAGGTCCCTCGCTGAAAACGCATGCAACTTTACTTTGAGTTGCAGTTGAAGGCGCCGATTTAATAAGAATAATAACAGTAAACAATGCTGTTTTAAAAACCAAAGATGGCAGAATAATCCATTTTCCTCCAAGTCCAAACAGAAATCTGGACATTTGGTCCCAGTTTCTGAAAGGTGAGTTTGACAGTGCTCGAGTTGGGAAACATTTTTACCGACGGTACCATGCCAGCGGACGCTGCTCTCCCTGGCACGGGTAGGTAAGCGTGGGCCTGGACATTTTTTTTTTTTTTTTTTTTTTGCGGCCGAATATTCGGGTACAAGAAATCGTACCCGAGTAGTTGTCAACCGTGCGGGTACTCGAGCATTCGACTACCCGTCGCAGCCTTACCTGGCAGTAGAAATAAGGTAGACTTACGATTGTGTGCAAACTGTTCGCTCTGGAAGCTGTATGTATACATTACATGTATATGTGAAAGGTTACATGATAATGGCAGGGTCCTCTATTTGTAGCAGTAGCCGACCTAGCCCATCTTGTTACATTCTTTCACCAAAATGACACCATATTAAATGATAATCATTTTCAAAAGTCACAAATGATGTTGTACATTTGAAAGATACATGATAATGGCATGGTCCTCTAAGTGGCAGAAGCGGACTTAGCCTATCTTGTTAAACTCTTTATTAAACCAAAATGACACCATATTAAATGATAATTACGATCTAAAGTCACAAATGATGCAACATTCCTTGAACCGAATCATCAGGATGGTTGGAATCATAAGGATTCAGTCCTACAAGTATGACACATTAAAGAGGTGATTTCCCGCGACAGTTCAATGTCTATGGTCCAGACGTCTACAATACATCAGGGGGACGTTTCACAAAACTTGTCATCAGTGACAAATGACAGATTTTGTTATAAGCTACTGAAATCCTTGCTTCTGATTGGTTGTTAACAGATTTGTCACTGATTTTTGTTATTTGTCATTGAAAAAAGGCTTTGTGAAATGGGTCCCTGGGCCCTGTCTTACAAAGAGTTGATATCAATCCAGCTAGAGATACATGTAGGAAACTGCAAACTTATGATTGATTGGAGGACTTCCGATTGATTTGGATCAATCGTAAGTCTTTGTAAGACGGGGCCCAGACGTACACTTGGGCAAAGTGATGTAAGCTGCCACAAAAGATTCCATTTTGGCACTAGCCGCATTGTACAACCATGGACATTGTAATTGTCACAGGTAAATGCTTTTGAATATATATGTCATAGAACTGATTCATAGTTCCTAGTCTTAAAATTTGGCCTTACCTGTGTCAAGTTTCTGCAAGATGTGATTGGGTAGGACCTCAGAGGCCTCGAGGTTGGGCGGATAGGCGTAGAGGGCCTGGCCCATTTTGCCGTGCTCCTCGCGCTCCTGTACGACGTTCATACACGTGTTGAGGATGTTGCGTCGGAAGTGAACGACTTGAGGATCTTTGATGGAGTCAAACTCGTTGACAGGGACCCCGATGGCAGCACCTGAGACGAAAGAGAGATAGAATTGTATTCTTTTTTTTCTTTGAATTTACTTTCTTCTTTCTTCCCAAAATCCTTTGCTCTTGTCACCAGTTATATACTTTCAGAACTCAACTATACCTATTTCAGATTGCTTACAATTAGTCACTGCTTTTTTGTCTTTCACAGTTAGAATCATGAACAGACATTTTTGGTAGTTTTTCAGTCTCATCAGCACCTTTGATTTAGGCAACTAAATATTGGTGCTTTATATACATGTACATGTACCTGGATTGGATTGGATATGAATTATGAATCATTTTCAAAACAGTGAGAAATATTTCTGTTTTAATAGGAAAGCTACTTTACTTTGAAATATTCACAATTAATCAAAGTATAAAGCACAAATATGTAGTCTAAAGAATTAAAAAATGTATGTTCTACAACAACTACTAAAGCTACTGCATTTCTGCTCATGTCCCTTTCTATGCCTGAGAAATGCGATCCAATATTTTTAGTTGTTCACTATATTTTTTATTCTTGCTTAAATAGTCATTGAAATGTGCATACATTTGCTGTTGCTACAAGTAGGTAGGACACATATATTATGGCTTGCCATACCTACACCTGTAACAACACGTAATATTTGCAATTTGATATCTGATTATTGAAATACAATTATTTGTAACAGGTGAATGAAATAATTTGTAACGAGGCACTTAAGTATAAATTTGGTTACATCATGAAAATTGCCTACTGCAAGGCCATGTACATGTACATGTAGGTAAAAACCTAGTATAAATGTCAATAATGAAATTATTATGATAAAAAATTGATAATCAATGCCTTGATATTGACAGGGTTACCTGTACATTTGTAGAAAGCGGTCACGGGGAAGCAAATTGTCTGATCAATTGATCAACGAGGGAAAGCCAAAGAAAAGCTGCATTTTTAATTACTTTTTTTCCACCAAGGTCACTCCTGATAAAGCCTTATTCGCATTTTCTAGAATAAAGAGTCCTCCCTTTCTATGCCAGTTTCATAAACAGCCATACCACCGATATCGATTCTGAAGGCTTCCCTCAATAATCTAGCAATTACAGCACATACACGTGTATGTACGAGATATATCTGTCTATATATTCTTAGCATTTGCTGTAAGAATTGAGAAAGTATTATTTGCTGTCGTTGTCAACAGGGATTTCTGACTTAAAGAAAGAGTGAGAAAAGTTCTTGCAATTTTTGATTATATTGCAACAAAAAAAAACTGTTTGAAAGCGATCGGAGGGTTGAGAATTTTACTGTGAGGTTTTGGTATCATCACAATGAAAAGAACTGGAGACGGTCTTTCTGAAAGTCGCATGCACTGTACACAGAAGTGTGTAAATGGGACTACACAAACATCTGGGTGTGAAAATTTGGTCCAAATTTCGTACGTCAGCTATTTTGGGGATGGTCAGATTTCAAATATGAGGGCATTTTCTAAAGGCTGACATAAAATGCATAACGTCACAAATTATTTTTCAGTCCTTTCCAACAAGTTATGTTTATGCATGGATCATCTTGTAAATACATGTACCGGTGCATGTATGTAATGTTATAATCCATAAAGGATAGATTGGATGTTTATTTTAATACTCATTTCTACCTTCAATTAATAAAGAAGCCATAACAAAAAAGAAAAAACATAAACACCTATTTTGGTCATTTCTATTTAAAGTAAATTCCAGGAACAAATGTACTTAATTATTCAGATACCAGTATGTACGTTCAAAATAGGGATTATTTGCACTCTTGTTTTTTGCAGACGTTTACATGTATCTCAACAGTTATATTTTGTAAGTGTACCTACTGCACATGTACATGGACATGTAATATATGCTGGGGGGGGGGGGGGGGGTTGTTTGTCTGTATGCTTAACAAAAATAAAGCCATCACACTTTCCGGATACACCACCTGCCCGGCCACACAACATCTGGGTGTACAAGTGTACAATGAAAAGTGCTATGCATTCATTTCATTAATCAATCAAATTCAAATCGACATGTAATTCAATAACATCTAAGTTAATATTACTGAAATTGTGTTTTTACTCGATTCAGTGCATCATGAAATATGTAAATACACCTGAATGTAAACAAAATGGCAGAAATATAAACACTTTGTGTCTGATTACTCCCTTTCATCTCAAAAACTAATGAACAATAATTGTTGCTTGAAAGTGGACATTATTTACAAGATGGGAAAGGTTTGTATTTAGAGTCAACAAGCTATTTCTGACAACCTTCGACAAGGCCTCCTGGTTGCTACAGAGATGAATTATTTGTTTGTTATCAATAATTATGCACATGCCTGCCTCTTTTGGATGGAGAAAATTCTTCATGAATACATGTAGTATAGTCCTGCATGCTCCTCCCTTCAAAATTACTTCTCTTACAATTGGTTTACTTCTCTTTTTATGATGCTTCATGTACCGGTATTTATTAAATTTAATTGATGTACATTAATATTCTGTTTATAAACATATAAATCACTTTACAATGTAATGTGACAAATCAATATTCTGTTTGGAAACATCATATAAATCAATTTACAATATAATGTAATTAATCAACATTCTGTTTGTATGTATCTATGATTTGATTACTTTGTTCTGTTATCATCTGATTTTGAAGATTCTTTCACTGTTCTGTTTAATTTGTCTCCATTCATTCAATTCAAAATCCAAATGGGCCGGAAATGGCAGAAATTTAAGTTTTGGTTGAGCTTTTCTTAATAACACTTTGTGTCTGATTACTCAGAGCAGATGCAGATGAACCCACATCTTAGAATTAAATTTGTTTTCCCAAACTTATGCGTGTCTGCTGACACTTGAAATGGTAGCCTATTTATGATGTCCAAAACCTTCATAGGAAAAGAAGAAAATAGTTATGGCAGTAGATTGAAGACCCCCCCCCCCCCCCCCCCTGAAGAAAAAAACAAATAAGCAGACACTACCTGGTACAGGGCAAGGTACATTGTATACCATAGTGGACTGGAAATGCAAATTAATCTTACATTGTATATTGCATTTCACACATTTTAGAATTCCAATCATAAATATCTTGATATAAATCACACAGGCGATCAGCTTGAAAAAGTCATGGGATTCCTGACTGACCAGCCTGACCTACAGATTTATAATCTTGATTGCAGCATGAGCAAAATCCAGGATTTTGTTTAGAATCTGAGGCAAAGATACCCAATCTCTTAAAGCCTGTCTGCACTAGTTTGGCCAGGCGATTAGACCTCCCTGCAAGTTCAATGACAGGTGGTTATCACATCAAATCAGCTCCCAATTAACATTAAAAAAGGGGATCATGGGGGACCAACAGGCACTGATTAGGCATTGTTTGCTATATAGAGGGCGCAAGTAGCTATAAGTAGTGCAGTGGGGCTTTAAACTAGAGTAAGCATGATGCTTTTATTCTCTTGAGACTGGGCTGTCTTGAGCACTAGACTTGTTTTGGAGGCAAGAGAGCGATCCCCGTGGTGATGTTTCCAAACTAGTAAACACTTATCTTGAAATCTGTACAGCCACATACTGCAAGAGAGAGATGGATAGAGAGAGAGAGGGAGGGAGGGAGGGAAAGAGAGAGAGAGAGAGAGAGATAGAGATGGAGAGACACACATACACACACAGTGACAGAGAGAGATACATAGAGAGAGACACAGAGAGACAGACACAGAGAGAGAGAGACAGACAGAGAGAGACAGACATATAGAGAGACAGAGAAAGAGACAGACATACAGAGAGAGAGAGAGATGTTCAAATAGACGAAAATATCCATGTACAGTGTACATAGTACATGTATGTAGCAGAAGTAAAGTATAGTCGAATAAAGACAAAAATCGATGGAATAGATAAGGAATGAGCTCATGTTTAATGACTTTGAAATATAATGAAGTTGTTGCCTTTTAATAACTCCATGTAGAGTATTCATGGTGCTTTTTACACAATCTAGGCTGGGCTGTTTTGAGCAAGCAAGCAATTCTCTGGTGATGTTGCCTAAAGAGTAAACACTCATCTTGAAATCATTGCCAAAGAGAAAGGAAGAGAGAAAGAGAGAGAGAAAGAAAGAGAGAGAAAGAAAGAGAGAAAGAGAGAGAAAGAAAGAGAGAAAGAGAGAGAGAAAGTGTGAATGTAGGCTTTACAAGTACATGTACACCTATTTACATACATGTACATGTAGATCTATCTGTAAATAGTATGGTAGCCTACATGTACATTTAGAAATGGGGAAAATAAGGAAGATGGAAGGGAGGAAATATATGATGTTTACATGCACAGCAAAAGTGGATAAAATAAGCAAGCAATAAAGAGAAGAGAAAGTGTGAATGTAGGCCTACAAGTACAGTATGGGTAAATGATTACAGCCTGTAGTTGGACTATGAAAAATGCAAATGTGCACAGAATAAGCGGGCAAGAAAGAGAAGAGAAGAGAAAGAGACAAAGACTAAAAGACAAAGAGTCAGCCATAAAGACGAAGACACAACTTGGAGATGAAAAGAAAGAGAAATCCTGAAAGAAGGGTGAGAAAGACATTTATAAGAAAATACATGTACATCAATCAAGAAATTACAATAAAATTTGCATGGAATAAAGGAGATCCATATTAAAAAGGGAGCATGCAAGGACGAGACGAAAGAGAAGTACTGTAAATGGGTGAAAAATACATGTAGAAAAGAAATCAAAAGTAAAGTGTGAGACGGTGATATACACCTGTACATAAGAAAATCTAGATATCTGCTCCAAGTTCAAGATAATATACAAAAAATACAAGAAATAATTATTAATATTTAATTTTTACCTTAGGGGTTTGTCAAGTAATAATTTTATTTGACTTTGGAAACATTGTTGTGTGATCGAAATATGTGCATCCGATCCCCATAAAACGTGCCACATCGCGAGTAAGATAATGCACGTAGGAAAGAGGTACATGCATGATAATAGAGTACCGAAGCTGTGACATCATTAAAATCTATTTTCAGAATTTCTTAATTTTCCAAAAGAGCATCAAAAATAGAGTCTGAATGTCGAAAACAAATTGAATATGTTAAGTATTGGCTGAGATATGATCATCGGAATAACACTGAGTCCCTATAGAACTTTATTCAGATGGTCATATCTCAGCCAATACTTAAAATATTTATTGGTTTTCGACATTCGGACATTATTTTGTATGCTCTTTCGGAAAATGAAGACAAATTTAGAAATTTCACAAATATATATTTGATGATGTCACACTTGACCATTCTACTGTATACCTTTCGAAACAATACAATATAATAATACGTCATAAAGAAACCAGGGAAGACAGAGAAGGAAAGTACAGGAGAGAGGAGACATTAATTAAACACGTCAGTAAAGGAGGAAGAAGAAAACATATAAGACATGAAGAGAGAGAGATAGAGAGAGATAGAGAGAGAGAGAGAGAGAGAGAGAGAGAGAGAGAGAAAGATGGTAGAGATAGACAGAGAGACAGAAAGCCAAGATATATAGACCCCAAAAAATCAAGAACGGGGAAAGGAGTTGAAAGTGACATTCAGCCTTTTCACACACAGCTAAAATTCATTGTATCTAGAGATGATTAGTATAAACGTGTTTAACTCAACAGTTTTAAACATGTTTATAGAAAATTTTCCGTGTGAACATCGTTTATACGATGTTGGGATAGATACGAAGTCACCATTCATACGCCCCTAAAAGCAGGCTGCAGATACGAAGTTTGTATCTAGAGAGCTTGACATTTTGTGTGTGAACGGTTATTCGTGTTTAAACGTGTTTAAACTGGATGGAGCATGCGCTTTGATTGATATGACATGACCTTCAATGCGCAATGGCACTACTGCGCATTTTACGAGCAGTAGTTAATCACGAAACGATTAACGATCGCACCAAAATTTCTGTGTGTGAATGATGTCGTATGTACAGGTGATTAGTTTAAAGCCCTAATCATGTTTATATAATTTTAGCTGTGTGTGAAAAGGCTGATTGAGTCCATTGGGCTGTAAGCTGTAAGCAGCCCAGGCGGTAGATGATCTGATCTTCTACCAAGGTTTTCTGAAGGGGACAAAAGATTGAGGCGAAAGATATCCACAATGTACGTGTACAATACTTCAGGACATATTTGGCAAGCAAAGAATAAAAAGGGGGAGAAAAAAGGAATTATTTAATTCCAAGCAACGGAGGGTGAAAGGAGAAAAGGGGAGAAAAAAGGAGACATCCTGTTTAATACATGATGCACTCTGTTTTTCTTAACCTAAGGACATGGCCATCGATTCGGTTTCATTTCTGGGAAAAACTTAACCTCGGTATACTCACATGGGCCATAAGATTCTCAGCACATACTGTACATTGTACCGTATGCCAATGATTGTGCAGATCTCTATATTTCATAATTAAATTTTCATCAGAACTATAATCAACACCTGTACATTATAATCACCACTAAACATACAAAAATATGAACACCAGATGTTGTGTTTTGCATGATATGATTGTTATGAATGTATTTACATGGTGATAGTTGTTGATAAAAGAATGAAGGCAACAACTTCAAAATTCAATTACCGGTATGACTGGTTTTAGGATCGGGAAGTGGATACAAGTAGGAGTACTTATGATACATAGTGCATAGAATTTGATAATAATTGAAAGAAAGAGAGAAAAAAAAGAAACAAAGAGAATGAATTTAACAGCAGGGCAGCTTCACATCCATGTGAAGTATGTACCACCCTCAACAGCGATTTAACATAGGGTATGCTCCTTGAATATTTTGTCACAGATATAGAGTTAAAGGCATTGTTTAAATGTTTCCAGTTTTACAAATTTGAAATGCATGGCCCTACTTTGTTCTTGTTAAAGTGTCTGTAATATGACGATATAATAGTACAAAATCTTTGAATGACCGGATTTTACCATACTCATTTTCCCCAATAGACTGTAGTGTATAAAAATTGTTGGGAAAACGGATTTCAAAATTTCAAAATACAATCACAAATATCTTGATAATCAGACAGGTGATCGGCTTGTAAAAGTCATGGGATTCCTGACTGACCTAAAAGTTTATAATTATGATTGCAGCATGAGCTAAATCCAGGAATTTTTTTAGAACCTGAGACAAAGATACCCAATCCCTTTAAGGTTTAATAGCCCTGAGGATTGCAATTGGGTTTCGGGTTAGGTTAAGGTTAGGAGTCGGGTATTGTGTTTGGTGAGTGTGATTCCGTCTACAGTTGAAGTTAGGAATATAGCTAGTGTAGGAACTTGACCGAGAAGTAATCGTCTCTGGAGTAGGGGCTTGTTCTATAATACTTGTTATCAATAACAAATTACACAATTCTATGACAAATTTGCTCTCAACCAATTAAATGTCACAATTTCAGTAGTTTATAACAGTTATTGGAACTTGTTTATTGAAAAAAAAATTTATGAAACAGGGCCAGGTGTCGTACATCCCCTTCATATCGAAGGATCCTAAACACTTCTTTATACAAGATAGCGCCGTAATGGCAGCCGTGCTAAAGCCAGGGTAATAATCGGGAGCGCCAGGAGTGTCAAGTCTGATAGACATGAGCGCTATACGAGAACCCAAAATTATTATTATTATGACATACAGGCAATACTGACCTATTTCATAATTGAGCATCTTCTCTTCCCTGTTCCCCGCAGGCTCCACCACCTTGAGCCACGGTTGGAAGAGCCTCAGGTCGCACAGCCTCCGCCCCTCGTCGTAGAACTCCTCCTTCTCCGCATCCTGCGTGATGCTGACGAAGATGTAGGAGGAGGCCTCCCCCAGGAGGTGGGCCAGGGGATACTTAAAGGCCTCCCTCCACAGCATGGCCTTGACCTTCTCCAGGGTGGCCTCCCTCACACACTCCATGGCCACCAGGATCCCGTTGGGCAGGAGGCACTCCACCCGGATCTTGGAGGGCATCAGGTGCGACCCCCATAGTTCTCCAGAGGATGGTGGCATCTGTTAACCAGACTCAAATTCCGCTGTCAGTCTCTTTGCATCTCTGCCAAAAATCTGCTTTTTAATGACATTCAGATTCTGAGAAAAACAACCTTGTTTACGCTTTTGCATCCACTAGAGACCACTTGAAAAAAAGTACCCGGTAATAACTATTCTCCAATTATATGACTGGATCAGAAGATTATTTTTTCCAAATATATTTTCTTGTTTTTATCCTTGTGTTTAATAACGTCTGTTTACTTCACAATATCTAGCAAGCACCTAATTACAGCTTATCTTCACCGATCGTCATGGTAACAAAGACACACATATATGGCTTTATCTTGATGAAGAGGACATCCAAAAATCCCTGTTAATCCCAGGCTCAAAAAGACAAGACAGTTACACCAACCAGGGGGAAGACACTGTGCTGCTCAATTAAGAGAGAGAGAGATGTTTTGGTGATAGCGACTGCCTCTATCCAAGTAATTTATGCGAATGCACCGACATGCTTTGTGAGTTGTTGTTGTCGAGTTGGCTTGGAGGAGCGTTGGCAAGGAACGAGTTGTTTCTTTTTATCACACCCTCTTGGATGAAACTGAGGAAACAAAAAGAGTGAAAAACATGCATTAGCATTTAAACTAGCAGGATAAACACAGGAGCCCATATTCTGAAGTCAGGTTTAGTTAAACCTGACTACAGAATATGGGCCAGGTAATTTATTGGTTCCTATTCATTCCCACTGTATACATGAAGTATACAATTATATACCACTGAGCATTTCATGATCATCCATTTCATGATCATCCATTTCACTTCTCTGATTATTACATCCAAAGTAAAATTCTCTTCATGGGGCCATTCACAAATGGTTCTTTTTTTTCATCACTACCATTAAAGTGATCATCATATCAAATCATGAAGATATTTTCATTTTTTTGAAGAAGAAGAAAAAATGAATTTAGTTACATCTATGGGACACTAAAATGCACAACATCTCCATTCATAGAATTTGCCTGTTGAGGAGATCATTTGAACCATAGGGAAAGTTAATATAATATTCAATATTTTGTTAAGTTAACAGTATTTGTGGACAGAAATTTGTTTTTAAAGTAGATTTTGAGATATCTTTGGAATGTTAGCATCTTTAATAAGTACATTCATGTACTACGTACATTATATAGAAATTATATATTACATGTATTATACGAAGATACATGTAACACAATTTTGTAAAGAAAATTTTGGCTTGCACTCAGTAAATGAAGATTGTGTGCTTGGTCTTGTGAAACAACTGAAAAAAATAAAGGTCATAACAATTCTACGAACCAGCAGCTCTACCACAAAGCCATCACTGGTCCATGGCTCGGTCATCTTGAACTGAAAACAAATACCTCAGCTTTCCTGACTTACTCTGACTTATTAATATTCATCAGTCCGCCAGTAGATAGCAGGAGCAGGTTCCAAGATTTTTTTTTGACTTGTTTTTATAAGAACAAGCATGCTATCTTTATTTACTGGCTGCAAGCCAAAAGTTTCTTTACAAAAATTGAAATTACTCCCAGGAAGCTTAACATGCAAAGATGAACAAAGTCAACATTCCCATTATATTTGTACATGTAACTGGAATAATGCAGATACACTGCAATAAACATTATTGCATAGATTCTCAAGAGAACATATTTTTGTTCTCATCAGATTGTATACAAGTAGTCAGATTTCAATACAGTTCATTATTAACTAAATTATTTTGGAAATACACAAGTACATAGAACATTCAGTCCAAAAGGGTGATTTAAAGAAGAATTTAAGAAAGAGTGTTAACAATAATAAGAAAATTCCTTAGATTTTCTCTATTCGAATCCATAATTTATAAAGCATAAAATGTATCCATTATCGAGTTCACTTCAAACTACCTAAATTCTTAAATATCATTCTTCATCAAAATTGAGCATACATGTAAATATGATTAGAGGTGGGGGCGGGGGGGTTGAGGAACAGACTGCTATAAAAACATATTTCATCACATTTCCTGTTAATCGCAAGTTAAACCCCCCCCCCCCCCTTCCTCCTCACTAAAAAAAAAACACAAGAAAGGTAAGGGCAATCCGCAGCATTGTGAAAAAGGAAAATACTATTTTATTTAAAGTACTTTAATAGTAGCACTTCAATTCATCAAAAGATTTGGTTTCTACTCAGTGAAAAAAATACACGGGGGCTCGGGGAGAAATAGCCCCTGAAATGCCCAAAAGAGCCCCCGAAATTCAGAAAAGAGCCCCATAAATTTGCATAGAGTTCAATGCAAGACAAATTTTAGAATGTTATTTTCGTGCAGGCAAGCTTGAAAAGTAACCCCCGAAAAATAAATATTATTTTTTCCGTTTCTACTTGCAGCCTACATGTAGGTTTACTGTCAACATAAGCCTTCAAAGGTTGATGAAATACTGCTTGTAAACTTCAATTAAAATTGCTGTTTGAAGTGACCTGTCTGGAAAACCAATAAGTCTTCTTCCCTGTAATATAGTAGTAGTAGTTCGTACAGGCCATCATAAGCTGTAGCCTATTCCCATTACTGGTACTAATCAGTATCAGGAGACATGATGTGTGGGTATCTTGTTCAGTTTCAAAACATGGTCAAATATATTAAATAACATAAAGTTTAATTGCTAGTGCATTCAAGTCCCTAAACAAATCTGGAATTTTGTCAGAAAATAAGATGCTGCTCATCTGATTATATTTCAGGGCTTTCTACACTTTTAGCTCAAGTTTTTATTTTTGCTTTTAGAACTCAAGTCTAACTCTAACGTTAGAACTTAGAAGTATTTCAAGTAACTTCTAAGTCTAATCATGAAATTCAAACCCAACAATTTACATTTTAATAATAATATCTAGAGCTAGCTCATCTTTATCTTTTTTTTTTAAACTAGATCTACTCATTATATTCATGAACATCAACAAAAGAAGAGTTACAACACAGAGCTAGCAGGTATATGAAGTTATATGCAGTGCAAGTTAAACTTAAAGGAGTTGCAGTCAAACTCCTAGTCATATTCGTATCATAGACCACAGCCACACTGTACTGCACTGCCTACTGGCTGGCATGCACTGCATGGAAGCGCCGAGTTGAAGAGGCAGCGAGGCGACAGCGGCACAGCACGCAAAGCCCCCCGAATCGTCTTGCCATATCTACGGATGAACCACCGTCCATCAGCCGCACGATTTTCGGTCACACACGTTCATCAACATTTTCATACATCTAAATGCCTTTTATTCAACGTATACACATGAAACGATATTTATGATTGATCTAAAACATATTAAGCTACGGAAAATTGCAGACAAGAAATACTTACAATTCTATTTACGAGCATAAAACTCCCATTTTTCACCGGCATACACTGTCCTCAGTACTCGGTAGTAGCGGCCACAAAGTTGTTTACGACTTTACTAGTTTACCCAGCATTCCTTTGACGAATTCGCGAAGTTCATTCAACCTTACTACGAGTACGATTCGCACACAAAATAGTCTTTCCGTGGCGCCTTTTCAGACCGATTTAGACGATATTATTTCGCTTCAAACTTGGAAACGCCCTGTTTAGAGGGGACAGCCCAAATGAATATGCCGATGACTTTGAATAGGTTTAACGTATTAATATTAGCTCAGTTAGTTACAGATATGATGTTAAACGTACCAACGATTTATAGGGGGAGGAGGCAAAGAAGAGGGAGCACCCCCCCCCCCCCCGTTTTTATACTCAGATTTGGTTTGGACGGGGTGTGCCGCTCAAGTCTCGATACCCCTACCCATTTTTATGGGTTATTTTGGGAGATTTTTGGACATTTTGAAAAAACGGATCCATGTTTAAGGATATTTTTGTTCTGAAAATGAGACCCATGTTTAGGGACTTTTGTGTAAAAAAAAAAATGACCCCTTAGAGCAGCATCCCCCCCCCCCCCCCGTATCTGTTAATATGTTAGTGCCCATCCCGATTTCTTTTTAGGATGCGCCTGTAAACTATAGTCCGGTTCGGGCTACCAGAGCTTGGGAAAGAAAAAAATTACCAAGAAAGAGATGCGATGAAATTGGCAACAATAGTCAAATTTGACTAATAGCCATTATAATACCAAACGAAGAAGAAGAAGAAAGTTAATTATTAATTCTAAACATTTAGCATTGCTCAGGGTTAACCACATTATTGATAATGACATTCTGATTCTTTGTTTTACTGAAAGGGCCGTGGTGTAGGGGGGGGGGGGTGCTCCGAAAATGAGGTGGATGATAATTATGGACCACAGGAAGGGTGGGAGTTGGTTCACTTTTCACGTTCTCTCTCTCTCTCTCTCTCTCTCTCTCTCTCTCTCTCTCTCTCCACTCTCCTTCTTCTTGTTTTCCGCCATTCAATGGGGGGGGGGGGGGTGACCCCTGTCCTTAGCAGCCATAGGCATGCGGGACGGGCATTCGTTTACTTTTTTGGATGTGAAACAGGCTTATATTTCCAAAAGGACTTTTACAGATAATCTTTTGTTTTTGTTTTTGTATTGTGCATTTGCGAACAACACTATCCATGCAGTTCAGATATCAACAGACACTGATATTGCTGAAAGCTGGTAACACCAGCAGCGTATGTAACAGGATTCCCAAATAGGCCAATCCAAATGTATATCACTAAAATTTACTAAACATTTTTAACCCTGACCATTAGAAATTTGTGGCACATAAAGCAATATTATGGAAGTGTATTTAAATAGGCTTTACACTAATATCGGAGAAAGTGACATTGCACACCAAAAGAACAACTAAAGCTAAACTGTCTAACCCGATACCAGAATAAGAAGAAATGAAAAGGAAAATGCCAATTCATTAACGTAATTATAATTATGTGGCAGAGGGAGGAGAGGGGGGTGGAGTGGGAGGAAGGGTAATCAATGTTCTTTCGGAGTTTTTCTCTAATTAGAGGCAGGCATCCGAAATGTATCCATGGTCGTGGAAGTATGATTACCCATTTAGGCCTACTTTTAAAGCAATGCCAGAAACAATACTAGAAAATACCCAATCATAATTTAACTAAACATTACTGATACGGTCATACGATGGGCGATTTCGATTACGACCCTATCTTTCGTCAATTCCTGTCATCTAATAAGGGTAGTGGTCCCGAAAGAAGCAGTGGTCAAGAACATCAAATTTTAAAGATTCTTTTCATTTCTTAAAATGAATATCTTCAATGACATGTTTTATGAAAACAGAGCCCCTTGTAGGGGCAATATTTGTTATTGAGAGGGTTACCCTTTCTAAAGAAGACCTGAATATAAAAAAATATGAATAAATCGCCTGTTTCATTATTTTGCTTAAGATTGTTCTTTTGAATAGAACGTATCTGGTCATATTGCAAAACTGCTTACCCCAGACGATCTAATGCTACTACACTGTAAAAAAAAAGTTTGGCAGATGTTACTGGGTAAATCGAAATTGGGCAAATTTTGTCCGATAATTGGGTTATTTTCCCGTCAACCTTTTACTATAAAGTTACCTACATGAAAGGTTAAAAAATAGGTTGGGTAGGTGTTACTTGGCAAATCGATGTTGGGCAAATGTCGTCCAATAATTATTGGGTTATTTCTTACCAACCATGTAGTAACCAACGAAATAAATAATGTTATTGGGCAAATTAAAGATGGGCCATTTTTGTCCAACATTTGGTTATTTTCTCCCGAACATTTACTACATGTACACTGTTGGTCATAATGGTGGAATAATTTTGTTTACCCCAATTTATTGAATGATGTTGACAATGATTTATTCCGAATAGGTTTAGAATAAATAGATAATAGGATACATTCTCAGATTTTTTTGAATAATAATTTGTGAGTGTTTTTTGTTTTTGCGTGACTGCTAAAGAATGTGTGTGCTACTATGCTAATGAACTAGGGGACCTATGTCATTAAAGCCTCGGTCACAAATGCCATCACGAACTGCTGCGAACGCCGTACGAACGATTTTCAGACAATGGAAATTCGGGAAGACAATAGAAAAACAGGGAGATTCGTACGAAATTATCGTTCGTACGAACCTTTGTGACCGTAGCATAAGTCACAACTGACAGTAATGAGGATTAATGCCACATAAAAGGGCATGGATGAAGCACATCGACACGGTTTTGATCCTTGGGGCTCACAGTCGGTAACGAGGCAATTGCTTAGCCACTGAATCATGAATGTATGCAGCGGGCGCTAGGGTTCGACGCCGCCCCCACAAATACAAAAAAGCAAAGAAAATGCAATAAATAATCAATAATTCATTGCATTTTGCCCCGATCCCTAATATAAAAAAATTCTCTATGTGGGCATGCCTTGAACCATACTGCATGGCCCTAAAAAGGAACTTTTTCTGTTGGGGACCGGGGGAAATGCAAATGAATTATTGATAATTTATTGCATTTTCTTATTTTTGTGTTATTTGTGGGGGCGGCGTCGTACCCTAGCTCCCGCTGCGTACAGTCATGATTCGGTGGTTAAGCAATGGCCTCGTTATACTGTGAGGCCCCAGAATAAAAAGCGTGAAGGACGTAGGTCCCCTAGTTTATTAGCATAGTAGCTCACTGCACATGCTTTAGCAGTCACGCAAAACAAACACTCGCAAATAAGTATGCAATAAAATCTGAGAATGTATACTTACATTTAGATCTATTAGGAATAACTCATTGTCAAAATCATTCCATAAATCGGGGTAAAAAAAAAGTATTCCACCATTTATGACCGACAGTGTATATTTACCCACTTAAATGTTCAAAATTAGTTGGGCAGATGTTACTGGGCAAACGTAAGTCGGACAACAAATATGCAACAATTCGTCGCTGTTTTCACGAAGTGACGGTAGTGAAAAAAAATTGCATCACTTTGCGTGACAATTTTCCTCACTACCGCAACAATGCAACAATAGGGTTCTACATTAATATTAGAGGTGTCGTGGTCGAGTGGATATGCCATACTGTGAATCACAAGGTCCGCGGTTCGAGTCCCGACGCGGCACAAAATTAATGTCCTTTTATAAGTATTTATCCAACTTAATTGCTCAACTAATGTCTAATATGCTTCACATTTTGGTGAAGAAGAAGAAAGAGAATAAGAAGAAGAAGGAGAAAAAGAAGGAGAAGAAGAAAAGAAGGAGAAGGAGAAGGAGGAGAAGGAGGAGAAGGAGGAGAAGGAGGAGAAGGAGGAGAAGGAGGAGAAGGAGGAGAAGGAGGAGGAGAAGGAGACGATTGCGCGCGTGCCTATTATAATTTACATTTCGAACGCAACATTAAGGCGTTATGTACATCATTCACATTTTGAAAGCAAGCTAAGGTCGTCATGATTTGATATTTTGATATGACAGCTTTCAGTTTATGAATAAATGCTATTGAAAGAGAAAAAGAAGAAAGAAAAAAAAATCGTCATAAGGAAAATAACTGCCGCAAAGGATTATAGCTAGTGATTATAACAACTCGTTAGGGTGACTGAAATGCCATGACTCTTTGTGGATATGATGACTCATAACTTAGCTGGCTGATAGAAACGCCCACGCATTTTATTAGAAGAGAAGAAAAAATCTTTGTAGAGTGGCACCTACAACGTTCGTCTTTGTTCTGACAAAATCATTATGGGGAAAGCTCTGGCCTACGACTAGTCTGTATAGGGCAGTGGAAGGGGGTGTCGCCCTGCACGCTTTATTGTATTGTATTAAAAAAAAAGCTTTCAAATGGATTGGGAGAATTATAAAGGGAAGGGTCACATGGCTGTTATGATGGCTCTATAAAACTGTGTTATTTGGTGCTATAATGAAGGTGGATGTGATTGTAAATTCGATTCTCCTACTTTCATTGTCTCGATACAATAAGGCTCTTTTTCTCCAGGGGAAAAAAAAACTTTCGTTTTCTCCATTTTCCAGTATTTATATAATATTGGATGGCTTTGAGTGTGATACAAGAATATATTGCTCGAGCTATGACAATATCTTCTTGTATTACACTCAAAGCCATTCAATATTTTATAAATATTTGCAATAGTTTTTCGTTTTCTCCATTTTCCAGTATTCTCCAGTATTTATATTGCTTCGCAGATTATTATTTATTGGGTGGTAGTTTCCTATTTGATTTTGTAAAAAGCTTTTGGAAACGAGTTTGATTTTAGTCCACTGAATGGGAAAGTCAAACATTGGGTTATAATTATGATGTCACATACTTTATGCGAAGTATACTACAATATTCCCAAAATTCATACACAGAACATGTCCAAAATTAACATAGAAACCTTTAAGTTGAAGCAAATTTTTAAATTCTCCTCCTCTCCTCTTCCTCCTATTTCTTTCTTCCTTCTTCTCCCTTTTCTTTTCCCCTTCTTCCACTTGTTATCCTCCTTCTTCTTCGGCTCACCATCATCCTTGTTTTTCAGTTTTTATTTTTATTTTCCCCTTTATTTCTTTTTCTTTTTCTTCTTCTTCTTCTTGTAATTTTCCTTTTTGCAAATTTGTCTTCATCATCATCAATATCAAACTGCATCTCTTGTTCTACATATCTAGTTCCATCTACGTTCATTTTGCGCCAACTGCATGATCCGCCCAACTTCCGCTGCCATTCATTCGTACAGGAATTGATCGAGGATTTGAGCCGTGCAAGAAACCGAAGGTGGGTGTGTTACTATTAAAAAAACACAATTTTAACCTTTATCTTATGATATATTCTTGTGAAAATTATCAGAGAGTTTCTTTAAATGTACATTTCTTATTATATAATGTTATTCTGGAAGTATACGCTCTAAATACGCCAAATTCCAGTTGTGTATGGACTTCATAATTGACAATTTTGCACGAATTGTACGTGGGCGAGTGTTACTGTGTATTTGAGGGTAGTGCCGATCGAAGGACGAATTTGCTAGTTTCAAGTAGTTTTTTAGCATGTTTAATGTCATGAATCGAAATCTGTGTATTTTTTCGTTTCTATGTGTTATGCATGAACACTTTGTTTAATTTCAGAGCGAGTTATTTGTGTAATTAAAGTTACAATTTACAAACAATTGAAACATCGCAAAGAGAGAGAGAGAGAAAAAAAAAGTGTCGGTGATGAGCCAAGTGTCAATCGGTCACTTGGTTTTGTTCAATTACTCATCATCATCATCATCATCTGATATACGGGAGTGTGGTTCCCCCCTTAGATCTCCCAGTCGTCTTTCAAAATATAAGTTAAATTGAGAGATCACAAATAAAGTTGCAAACATGGCAAAGAGAGAGGAAAAAAAAAAGTGTCTGTGATACTGATACATGTATGAAGGGGTGACCAAAGTTCGCGCACATTTTAGAACATATTACAAAATGTGATATTCGATCTATGATTTCTCACATTCTACACAACTTTATTTATTTCAATTATTACCAAATGGACGGCAAAGTTTTTTACTACAGATTGGTTCAACTAGAAAAATTTACCGTCGAAGGATTTCGGAGATATCGCGATCTTAAAATTCGATGTCCGATCGTGCGTGCGCGCTGCATCTAAAAAAGTCATAAAAACAATGAGACCTAACTTCGCGCACGGTGGTTTACAGTTGATTTATCAAAAAATGCGATCCATCAAAAATAAGGTAATATCATAATTTGCAAGACAAGATATCGTACAATCAGTTAGTACCACTCTTTACTTACAATTTTGAGGATTTCTGATCTCAAAATGAAGATTTCCAGACCCTTATCGGTAAGTTGATAATTTTTCGGAACGGACGCAAATAACTGCAAAATTTGCCGATCTTTTGTCAATATTTTCACAATTTCGCACCCAATTCTAAAGAAAATTTCGTTTCTGGGTAATTTTATGACCCTCTTTCCATTGGTGATATCAGATTTTCGAAATCTTACCGATTTTTTGAGAAAGCGAACTTTGGTCACGCGCGAACTTTGGTCACACCGCCATACATGTAAGCCAAGTGTCAATTGGTCACTGTTGCCTTGTTGGTTTTGTATAATTACTCATGATCATCATCATCTGATAAAGCATTAAAGGGGAGTGGGGTAATCCTGTAGATGTCCAGGTCGTCTTCCAAAATATAAGTTCAATTGACAGTTTGTGACTTAAACGGAGTGCAAAATGTGTGGATGTCGGGTTACATGAAATTTTTTGGCAAGCCAGTGTTTATTTAAACCAGTCTTAAAACACTGTAGCCTACGTGCGGTGACTAGAGATTCTGGCAGAATAGATCTAGATCTACATGTATGTTCTTTAAACTGAGTGAAAGTCATGATCATCTCTCATTTTTTTTCCTAGGGCTAGGCAAAATTATATTTGCTTTCCTCAATTCTACACAAGTAAAACATGAAAAAAAATGAACTGAAGTTGCACTTAAAAGTTGTGTTAGAGAACTGTGATGCTAGATTATATTTGTTGAATTTACAGCTTAAGTCAATGCATGTTTACAATTTTGGTCAATCAAGGTGATAGTCAAAGTTTATATAAACAACTATAATTGTGTAAAAACAAGCACCAAAATCAAAATACAATGAAATGGGCCTACTGATGATACAGTCAAACCTGTCTATAGCGACCGCCCAAGGGAAACTCAAAAAGTGGTCTTTGTAGACAGGTGGTCTTTGTAGACAGCTGGTCACTAAAGCAGGTTTGACTGTATTTAAAAATAATTTTGTATTTCATTCTGAACCATGTCCACAATAATCATGAATTTTTTCCATTCTAGAACTAAGTGATCAAATTTTTATATTTGATTTACAGTCGGGGCAACCAGGGCAGCATTTCACAAAACCGGCAATGTACAAGTTCGTGGACATCCCATTGAAACACGTATATTCAATTGATTAATTGAACCATTATTTTTGCACACTTCAATGGGATGTCGGTGAACTTGCATGTTTGACGGTTTTGTGAAAGGATGCCCCTGATGTACATGTACATGTAGTATGCTTTCAGGACCAATTCTTAAATCACAAATGTATTTCAATGACTCCAATCTGTAATCTACAAGTAGACAAGTCCAACTTATTCCGATTGTTACCAATCAGACTTTTGACTTGATGTACCCTCTCTTTGTCAGAGGAATAGAGACTGAGAGAGGAACGCGCAAGTCCAAAAGTCATATTGATTTAAGCGGAGTTTCCTTATTAAAAAAGTAATTTGCCCTTGCCGTTTATAAGTTTATGCATTAATTATAATGTTGCATTTATTTGTTTATCTAGTTTTTCTTGCAAGTGTAGGGGCTCACTTTTTTCCTCAATACACTGCTTTTTTTTAATTAAAAAAAAGCGACTTTTGTACAAGATTGCTTTTGCTTTGCAATATACATTCATGAATATTTATTCTAACAAATTGTAGAGTCAAGCTAGAAATAAAATCGTAAGTTTGGTATGACATGAACAAAATGGAATTGGAATGGATTGAATGGAATGAAATTCTTGAAATAAAAGCAGAAATATAGAATTATCTAAATTTTTGAAGTAGGGGCCCATGCATAGAGACTCTGAAGCAGTTGGTCTGGCCTCAAGGCAGCACCGTTTGATAGTGGTAAGGGCTCTCAAATCTCATACGAGGGCTCCTTGGTTCGATCGTTGATTTATGCTTACATCCTGTCATAAGGTGTTTTCCCCATATTTGTCTTGACCCAACTGTACATGTATTACAAAGGTACATGTCAATCCAGAAACAATAATAGTAAAGTGAGGCGCGATGGCTCAGTGGTAGAGCAGAGGTCTCATAACAGAGGTCATTGGCTCATAAATGATTTGATGCGCTAGTGCCATTTGGAAATGCATTATCCTTTATTACCAAGTTCTTCGGAGAGGACTTAGAGCTGTAGGTCCTCTGGTTACTTACTTCCAAGTATACTACACATGATTTCTTAGCAGTCAGGTAAAACAAAAACAACAACTCACCTTTAATAATAATTGCAGGGCCTACAGGCAGAGCAGTAATAATCCTGACGTGTACGCATACATACCCTGAATAAAAATACCAAATCATTATAAGAATCTAATTTTGATCTAAATTTCTTTGTTATTGTTATTTCTCTTACAGGACAATGAGCTAGCCTAAGATGTTAGGAGGTCTGTTTATTTACAACCACAAGGGGGAGGTCCTGATCTCTCGAGTCTTTCGAGATGACATAGGGTAAGTACCACTTCTCTTACAACTGGGGGTGTTTCACAAAGATCCTAAGTCAAACTTATCTCTAAGTTGGACTAACCATTATGGAAAGCCGTTGGCACCTATGAAAATATTTTGTACAAGTTATTTTAAAAGACAAAAAATGTTGATTCAAATTATTCGTATTTTCTATTATCAAGGAGATTTCATGTTCTTGATGTGGAATTTATGAATAGTCTAAAATACAGGAATTTTTTATTTTGAATATTTATTTTAAGGCTACGAATGGCTCTCCATAAAGTTAAACTTCGGATCTTTGTGAAACACCCCCCCCCCCCAGGTGCTGCAAAGCATGTGTTTGTCACCAAAGTAGCTGAAGTATTTCAATTGTCCATGTGAAAGATTTCTGTTCTGTTCAATTAGCACATACATTATCTGAGTCACAGAGTCACTGTTGATGAAATCATCTAATGTGCGGATGTATGATTGCCTTGCAGAACATGTTAAATTAAATCCATCTCATAGATTTTGTGATAGAGGTGAATTCTCTACAGAGAACGGAAAGTGGATGAAGGATCAATTTTCTGACTCTCTTTATGACAAGAACCCCTTGAAGAGGCAGCTTAAATTAATGAAAATCACCTCCCCTGAGACTCTTGCAAATAACCACAAAAGAATGACGGTGACCTTTTGCTACAGGACTCACAGGAGCTAATGTACAGCATAGCAGAATCAGCTCTGTCAAACTGCCAAGCATGATGTAATTACTCGCATCCACAATATTGACAAGTCTCGTGGCTGACATAGTTCCTGTAGAATTTCATTTGTGATGTCATTCCAAGGAAACACTAAAGGATTCATCATGTGATCATCGTAATGATGGACTAGTTCCAGTAAGATCGGTTGTATTCTGATGTTTTTTTTCTGCTTACATGTACGTGTAAATATCTACAATTCTGTTTTTGCCAGGTCCAACATTCTTTGTGTGGCACTTGGCCTTCATGTGTATTATATTTCAAAATGAAGAATCCCTCCCAATCTGAACAATGTACCTTATTGATGCTAATTCACATTTTCATGTTGTACCCCTTTCTTTTGAAGGCGAAATGCCGTGGACGCGTTCCGCGTGAACGTGATCCACGCCCGCCAGCAGGTGCGCTCCCCCGTCACCAACATGGCACGCACCAGCTTCTTTCACATCAAGCGGGGCAACATCTGGGTGGCGGCCGTGACCAAGCAGAATGTGAATGCACCCATGGTCTTTGAGTTCCTGGCCAAGCTGATGGAGGTCATGACCTCGTACTTTGGCAAGGTCACCGAGGACAACATCAAGAATAACTTTGTGCTCATCTATGAGCTTTTAGACGGTAAGCACTGCAAAATATCATTGTTATCAAAACAATTGATCAAATCGTAACTTAAATCTTTGAAAGTTTTATCATTTTCTCTGTTAAAGGGATCGTTTAACAATGTTAAATCTGAGATACACGGTCCTACATGTTACCAGTGTCTGTGATATGGTGTAATATTGAAGCCCTAAAAAAATCGCGCTTCAAAATGATCAAGAAGTGCCTCAAAAAATTAAAAATCTTTGAGTGACCGGTTTTACCATACTCGTGTTCCCCAATAGACTGTAGTTTTTGAGTTCTAGCTCTCGGCAGGTGATTTTGATCTCCAAAATTTACATTTGAGATTTTAATATCTTGTACTGTGTCTTCCCTTCCTAAAGAATGAGAGGATCATGGGGGACCAATGGTTGCTGATTAGGCATTGTTCGCTATATAGAGGGCGCTAGTAGCTATAAGTAGTGCAGTGGGGCTTCAACATGTAGACTGAGATTAGTGCAGAATGAAACCTCTAGAATTGTCATGTATAAATAAGTTGTTCCATTTTCTTTCAGAAATTCTGGACTATGGTTACCCACAGAACACAGATACAGGGATGCTGAAGACATACATCATACAGCAAGGAATCAAATCATCAGTAAGTTCTTCTCTTTAATAGCAATCCAAATCTTGTAATAATTAAGCTTTGAAATATGATACACGAAATGGCGAAAGTTTGAAATAAATCAGACCAATAATAAAGTTATGAATATTTGAAATACAAATTGGCAATATGGTCAGTGGATTTTGTAGTCATGGGACAACTCTCCCATTTCCAGAGACGCCAAGTTCAAAGATCAGCAATGCGTGACATTTGCATGATTCGGCCCGCTGGCGCGCGGGCAAGGGTATAACACACGTATAAGGTATAGCGTTTTTTCGAAATCTAGCGCGCGCGCAGTGTGTGAGAGCATTTCCAGACGCCTAATGCGTGACACTTGGTAGCTCTGCATTTCATTCAACATGGAGCAAGATGACCAAGTTTTGTCACAATGAATTCTTCTTTGATGTCCAGGAGAATCTTACTGGTGGATTGATATTGGCGAAGGAAGATGAATGTCTTGTCAAAAGATATCATTGTTATGCTAAGGCTTAATCCCATAACCTTTGAATAACTTGTCAAATGTCGAAAATACTCGGCTACAGCACTTTTGAAAGACGATGTCCTCTTTTTATCCTCAGAGCAAAGAGGAACAAGCACAGATCACCAATCAGGTGACAGGACAGATCGGTTGGAGAAGGGAAGGCATCAAGTACCGTCGTAATGAACTCTTCCTTGACGTGCTCGAGAATGTTAATCTACTCATGTCCCCGCAAGGTAGGACAGTTTGCTTTAACTTTTGCAGAATGAATGTGACGTGAATGACTAATTTAAAATAGTGTCATGCTTCGCAAAAGTGTCTGATTCTACCTGTGTCTTTGTTCAGACAAGTGAAATGAAGGCCATGTACAGTAATGACATGTGTCACAATGTTGTCAAACGTGATTATTCTAGTTTGCATGAAACTTAAATATTGTAAATGATTCAGATTTGTGAATGTTTGTGTCACAAAGTGATTTGTAAAAGTTTCAAGGGGTACATCCCAGATAAATAATTATAATAAAAGTGGGTTATTGAATAGTGTTTATGTCTATCCTGGCGCTCTAAAATTATGAATGATCCCTTGGGATTGAAATTGATGGAAACACTACTGAAAATATGAGAAAATAATCCTCCTCTATGATAACGTTGTAGTTATATCATGATGGAACTATAGTGAACAATGAGGAATGTACAGGTATTTGAGGTCAAATATTATCCATTGCTACCTGCCCAAAGGCTTGTTTGGCTACTTTTATATGCGCTACTGGACAATGAATTGAAATGTGAGTGTATTTCGAGAGCATTTTTTATTACATTGCTATTTATGAACACGTTTTAATCTGTCACATAGCAAGAAGAAGATTGATCAATCTCACAAATATTTGTTTGTTATACCTCTGCCAGAACCCGACCTCATTCAAATTGTTTTAATAATTTTGTCTCTCAGGCCAGGTTTTGAGTGCTCATGTAGCAGGTCGAGTCGTAATGAAGAGTTATCTCAGCGGTATGCCCGAGTGTAAGTTTGGCATGAACGATAAAATCACACTGGACAAGCAGGGGAAAGGAGATGATCCAGCAAAAAGGTATGAACAACCCCCATTACTCAAAGAAAATTCCAGCTGTATTCAATCAAAGTAATCATTCCAAACAACACTTGAAATGTGGTCTTTGTAGCGATAGAAATTTGATGATAATGACAGTTATATATCTCTCTTTAGAAATCTAGCCATCTGAATGGTCGAAATGCAGTCGTGATTTTAGCCATTCCCCTCATACCCGCCTACCAGTCAATAGTCTTTTGAAAAGTGCCCTCATACCAGCAGTAACTTGGAATTGAATAGTATAGAGATATCGACATGCATGTCATGTTATGATGTCATACCACCATGCGTTTGCACAGTTCAGGGGACTTATCCCATACTAGCAAACAGTGTGTTTCAAGAAACGCGTTTACCAGGTACCCACTTACTACACTTAGGTTAAGAGCGATAAAAGTAGATTAATGCCTAACCAGAGGGACGCAAGTAAAAGGACGTGTGGGACGCGTGTTCCACGGTTCAAATCATAGCCAAAAAAAAATGAAGAAGTTGAGACGCCATGGTGAAGTGCAATGAAGTTTATTTCGTTTATAAATAAAAACGGAAACCCCTGCATTGTACAGAAAAATAAAACAAAAGCATCATAAGTACCATAATCACATTATAAAAATCATGCAAGTCATCATATGGATTGTGATTAAATTTCTGTAGACAAATGCAGTACAGTTCAGTTCAGTTCATATACATTGAAATGCAATTAAGAAACCAAGAAATAAAATACATAGTATTCAATATTATCTGTAAATACATGTATAGATATCAAACAGTCATGACTCCAATCAATATTATTGAATACATAACATAAATATTCCTACACAACTCACCCTAGACTAAATGTCACACGGGTAAGAAAAATCATACGTCATCGTCAATTGTAGCTTTGTAGCGTGGTGGTGATAAAACAACCTCAACTTACGCCTCAGCGGCTAAAGTAGGAAAAAACATGAAACGTCAATTATATACTATGGACTTTTACATTTAAATCAGTATTTGTTGTAAAAATCCCCATGATATATAAACCGAGTCTGATACTTACAGACTACTCATCAATCCCGTAAATAACAGAAGAATACATTTAACATGCCTCGGTACGTTTCTACCGTACAGTGAATAAAACATCTCATTACATAATATACAATTAACGAACAGACTCTTATATTACGGCATCATAAACACTGGTAGCAAAGTAAAACTCAATAGCATCAAATATATTCAATTATCTCTACATACCTGTTTAAATGGTGCAACACAAACAGGCTACATTGACGGCAAAGCTTAAGCGTGTCGGAGTAAAATGGAGACAACCAGCTTCGCTTAAAGCAAGTGAACGAATGTCCGCTACATAAAATACCCATCAGGGCCTTGCCTGACATAGCGCGCATTCGTAAGGACTACTTTTCGAGCATGAATGCACATCCTTAACGTAAGTACACAGACCCATGTGACCATTAAAGTAATGAGGCTTCGGGTCTGACACGTATGTTTTAAATTAGACACACCCAATATGCTGTACGGTGTTCTTAAATAAAAAACCAAGTTTTGAAATGGTAAAAACGAGTTTGGTCACTACAGACGCAATCCTCCGACCTTGTTATCTACGATCGGGTTCAAGACCACAGAACAGCTTTATGTCCCAGTCCTTGTTGCTGAGACAGATTTCAACTGTCCTTTACTGATAATTTGTGACAAATAATTTGATATTCTCATCTATAAAGATCCTAGAATCTGTAAGCTAAGTAAGAGTTAATGAATGAGCATTCATAATGAAATTGTAATACCTAAATCAGGGCCCCACACCAACGTTGTTTAGAAGGGAATCTGGACTTAGATCTTGGGCGCCCTTGTGTCCCAGGCACACGTTAGCGTGAGCCCTGCCTAAAGTAGATATTCCATTCTTTATTCTTGCTACAAAATGGCCTCTTTGGATGAAGTCTCACCTAAAAAGGATTTTGTTGAAAAATAATGAATTAAATTGAATTTTCTGGATTGTAAGCCAGCTTTAACTTACATCGGGCAGCTGGACTGCTGGAACAGTCTGTACGGATTACTTACATACAACGAATGCCAGTACATGCTGCAGAATGCATATTCTTTATGTTCTGACTAGGAAAATCCTTGTTCTTTCTCGTTAATCTTTCAGCAAATCATCCATTGCCATTGATGACTGCACATTCCATCAGTGCGTCAAGCTCAGCAAATTTGAGTCAGAACGTAGCATCAGTTTCATCCCTCCAGACGGTGAATTTGAGCTCATGAAGTAAGTTGATGTTTAAAAGGACTGTTCTCTTGGAGATAATCCCCTTTTGTGCTAAGTAAAGGAGAACTAACCCTAAAGAATCAGTGTAGATATTCTGAAAAACAAGATGAATTCCTGCTTTTTGATGTATAATAAATCTTACGAACGTGTACAAGAGATATATAAATGAAAATTTGTTGGCATGATGAAATGCCTTTTACATGTAGCTTGACATGGGCACAGCCATATTCCAGAAAATGTGACTTACAGGCTGAGTTGTATATGTATCATGCACCAAGCTTTAATTGGAAAAACTTGTTGATTCAATAACAAAACCTTTACTTTTCAATGAGGGAAAATCATAGCCGAGAAGGTAAAAATTATTTTTGTTGAAAAATAGTAATAGGGTAACGATTGTAACTCATTTATTTAAAAATACTAAAATATAGCGGTTGAAAAAACTGTTTCATTTATGCGAAACCTTCAACCCAGAACAGCACCAACTTATTTATGCAATTTGCGTTATGGCAATTGGAGTACAAAGGTATGGAAAATTTAGATGGATCTTCGACCGGTAGGGAGGACTAAGATTGCATTGTCCCCCTGGATTCCAATTAACCCCTCTTTGTGAATGGTTTCTCCCAACAGGTATAGAACCACTAAGGACATTAGCTTGCCCTTCAGGGTTATACCATTAGTCAGAGAGGTGGGAAGGATGAAGATTAGAATTTTCCCTTCTGGATTACAATTAACCCCTCTTTGTGAATGGTTTCTCCCAACAGGTATAGAACCACTAAGGACATTAGCTTGCCCTTCAGGGTTATACCATTAGTCAGAGAGGTGGGAAGGATGAAGATTAGAATTTTCCCTTCTGGATTACAATTAACCCCTCTTTGTGAATGGTTTCTCCCAACAGGTATAGAACCACTAAGGACATTAGCTTGCCCTTCAGGGTTATACCATTAGTCAGAGAGGTGGGAAGGATGAAGATAGAATTTTCCCTTCTGGATTACAATTAACCCCTCTTTGTGAATGGTTTCTCCCAACAGGTATAGAACCACTAAGGACATTAGCTTGCCCTTCAGGGTTATACCATTAGTCAGAGAGGTGGGAAGGATGAAAATAGAATTTTTCCTTCTGGATTACCATTAACCCCTCTTTATGAATGGTTTCTCCCAACAGGTATAGAACCACTAAGGACATTAGCTTGCCCTTCAGGGTTATACCATTAGTCTGAGAGGTGGGAAGAACAAAGATTGCATTGTCCCCCCTGGATTACAATTAACCCCCTCTTTCTGAATGGTTTCTCCCAACAGGTATAGAACCACTAAGGACATTAGCTTGCCCTTCAGGGTTATACCATTAGTCAGAGAGGTAGGGTGGACAAAGATGGCATTACCCTTTCTGGATTACAATTAACCCCTCTTACTGAATGGTTTCTCCCAACAGGTATAGAACCACTAAGGACATTAGCTTGCCCTTCAGGGTTATACCATTAGTCAGAGAGGTGGGAAGGACAAAGATGGAGGTCAAGGTTGTGTTGAAATCCAACTTCAAGCCCACAATACTGGGGCAGAAGATTGAGGTAAGTATGAAGTCGAAAGTGTATCTTAATGGCCTTATAGTTGTTACAGATTGGTGATATCAATTCAAATCTGTGTCAGATTCAGATTCAGATTCAAATTTAATTGTCCTTGTTAAAACACCCAGAAATTTGGCCTCCACTTGCAGGAAATAACAATGAATAACATAAGAATACAAAAATTTGCACAAAACAAAAACATTGATTAGATTAACAAACGGTTGAATACATTCTGATAAACATGTCTCACATGTATACATGATATTTTAGGTTAAGGCGTTTTGTAGATGGAACTATACAATTCTGGATATAAGTTTGCTATAATTGAATTTCTGAACATGACTGCAGTTTCTATCTATCTGGTCATGGCATCTTTTCCCAGCTCAGGATCTGATTCCAACAATTCTCCAAAGTCTTTGTTTTGCATTCTAGTGCACTCTTGCTTAGGTCTTCATGGATGTAATACTAGTATTATGGTTGCCAAATTTAAAGACTCTGCAAGAAGTGAAAAATAAAATAGATAAATTATATATCAATTGAAAGCTTATAAGCCATATGTTACAATAATATCAATTATATGCCATTTTAGTGTAGAGGAGAAACAGCTAAAAATTAGAATTCTAAAGCATTGAAAATCGGAAGTTGCCGACCTAAAAACTCAACTTGATGACATCATCTTATGTGGAGTATTTTATTACAATGACTTTGCATCAATTAAGCATGGCTCATCGCCTCAGCTATAAAGAAAAAACCCTTTTCCGAACATTTTTTACTACACTGCAGTCTATTCGGGAAAATGAGAATGGTAAAACCGGTCACTCAATGATTTTTACTTTTTTGTGTCACTTCATGATCATTTTGAATTTTTTTAGGGCTTCAATATTACAACATATCACAGACACTGGCAACATGTAGAGCCATGCATCTCAGATTTGTAAAACTGGAAACATTGTTAAACAATGCCTTTAATGACCGGAGTGTTGGCTCAGTCAGTAGAGCGTCCGCCTCACAACCGGGAGGTCGTGGGTTCGAACCCTGGCCGCGTCATACCAAAAGACGTTAAAAGATGGGAGTTGTTGCTACCTTGTTTGGCGTTCAACAATAAGGGATAGAGCAACGTCGATCTGGCGCTGCTCAGTGGCTGCCGGGCTCACGATCAATTGGGCAAAAAGAATTTCCGTTTCGGTTTAATAAAATTTGGAGTGGACTATTAGGCTATTATTATTATTATATTATTATTATTAATATTGTCTTTTTTTGTGACAGGTGCGCATCCCAACACCCCTTAACACCAGCGGCGTTCAGGTCATCTGTATGAAGGGCAAGGCCAAGTACAAGTCCAGCGAGAATGCTATTGTCTGGAAGTAAGTCCAATCAAGCTCATTTAAAGCCACACTGTCCTACTTTTAGCTACTTGCTCCCTCTATATAGAAAACAATGCCTTATCGGTGACCATTGGTCCCCCATGATCCTCTTTTTCTTATGTTAATTGAGAGCTGATTTGATGAGATAACCACCTGTCCAGTGACCTTACAGAGTGGTCTAGTCCCTCCTGTACACTAGTACAGATAAGCTTCAAACTCTTCACTGCCACTATAAAGGCGTGTTCAGATATGGAGAGGCGCAAAAACAGCCTCCACGTTTTGTTAACGTGTAAAATGAAAGGCAACTGTGCGCAACAAAGGATTTGCCCGTTGTCACTGAGCTCTGTGTTGTAAGATACAGAAAGGTGAAGCATATTACACTTCATGTCACCCTAATAAAACGCTGCGATTTTGCCACGTTGTATCTGCCTTAAAGAAGCAAATTTAGGTCATAGAACTGGAACTTAGGCAATGAATTCTGAAGACATCTTTGAAGATTTGGCGTAGTAGTCTTAGTAGTCTTAGATTGTGCACACAGTGTGTGCGGGTAAATTTTGAATCCATTGACCGGGGTAATGATATATCTGTAAAGTGCTTAGAGATATTTGTATTAAGCACTATATAAAAGCGGAATATTATTAGAGATATCATGATCTGAATATTGATTTTTTTTTTTGGGGGGGGGGGGGGGTTACATTTTGGGCCAAATGCAGATTTAGAAAAAGGGAACATCATATCTTAAGCCTTTGCTACATAAATGTCAAGAACAAGCAGGGCCATGTTATGAAAATTGATGGATTTTTGGCATGGAATTTTATATTTTATGATTTTTTTTTTTTTTTTTTTTGGTATACCTTGGCATTCATTTAAGTTTGGAGCCTGTGATTATGGTAATAGACATGTTTTTCCTCAACAAAAAGTCTTGAGATGACAAAGTTTTTCTGGAATTTTTGTTTTTGTTTGTTAGGATCAAGAGGATGAGCGGAATGAAGGAATCCCAGATCAGCGCTGAAATTGAGCTTCTACCAACGTCAGACAAGAAGAAATGGGCTCGCCCACCAATCTCCATGAACTTTGAGGTAAAGTGTGTGGAGAGACAAGAAAGAATAGCTGCTTTTGATATATTATCCATATGCTAGGGTTTGTGTGTTATGTGTGACAATAAGACTGTATTGCTCTCATCTTCAACTCTGGCAATATGAACATTCTTGTGCAGTATAGTCTCACATCTCCCGGATAGTCCATCATTATTACAGAATTATTCTTAAAGGATTTTGAAGGATAGCTAGGAAATACACAATTTGAAGTTTTGAAATGACATGCATAATATGAAATGATAATAATTGTAAAGGCGTTGTGGTCTAGTGGATAAGTCACCCGACTGCAGATCGCAAGATACAGGGTTCGAGTTTCGCCGCGGCACTATTGTCCTTTGGCAAGACGTTAATTTACATTTGCCACTCTCCACCCAGGTGTTAAATGGGTACCCGGTAGGATGCGAAAGTTAATGGGGTTGGATGAGCAAGTGGCGCTTGTAAAATGGCAACTGGCCGCAATGCTCCCAGGGAGTGGACAATGTGCGTACATTGTGTGCAGGTAAGCCTGAAGACCGGGGTAATAATATGTACTGCGCCTAGAAACAAAGTATTAGGCGCATTATAAATGTGAGCTATTATTATTATTATTGTATTTTATTTCATTCTCATCATTGACCAGGTCCCGTTTGCTGCTTCCGGTCTGAAGGTGCGCTACCTGAAAGTCTTTGAACCTAAACTCAACTACAGTGATCACGACGTCATCAAGTGGGTTCGCTGCATCAGCAGGAGTGGCCTCTACGAGACGAGGTCATGACCTGCGTGATGCAACGAAGCAGCCGTGGCGTTGTGAGAAGTTGTGGTTGGAGAGGGGGTGTCGTAGTCGCCCCCCTATCTGGCAGGATTAGAATTTCTATACATGGACCCTTCCCTCTCCTAGTTAAACTCTCTCCTTAATATTGTACTTTGTGTTTCTTCTGAATCAAGGGCACCATACCCTCTGTATTCATACAATTTTCTCCACTGAGATAGTACATGAATGGTTCATCGGTGTGATGTTCATGGCTTATGAATATTCATGCCATAGGTCAAATCAGGTCACTTGGGTGTATTTAGGAGCCCTCTTCTCAATTCAAAAATCTACCACACAGCCAGTCCTAAAGTTACCAGAGCCTAATGTACAAGGATGCCACTTTTCTTAAAAATTGTAAAAAGTTGCTTGGATTTAGATTTCTTCAATTTCTGTTTTGGGGTAGACATTTTCAGTCTATTAACCCCAGGGTTGAGAGTAAATTTCTATTCTATTGGTGAAGTCAAGGGGCATTACTATTTTTGGCCAATCTCTCTTTAAATTTGACATACATGTAGGTGTATGACAATGCATCAAATAGAAACATACTTTGAAATACTCTGAAATTTAAATAGAATCTCATATAGATATTCCAATTTTAAATCATGTATAATGGTAGATATTTAGAGAGTCTTATTGAGTTCCTCTGATAGACAAGCCCGTATTTCTCATCCTGACTTTCAAGATGAGGTAAAAGTCTTCGAGAAATTGTTGGATGCATGGTTATGGTGACAGAGCTGCAGTCTTGAATTCTTTTGTTTAAAATGCCATTGTAGCAGAGGATGTACAAGCACACATGCACACAAAATAACTGAGATTGATTTCAATGTAGTGTTTTTTTGGCGTTTATGTGTACTATATCAAAATTCTTATCATTCCATGAAAGATTGCTGTAAAGGTATTTTCAAAATAGTGAAACAGAACTTGAAAAAAGGGAAACAATTTAAAAATATTTGAAAATATATATTGGTTGCTTGGAGATGGGAAGGATTTATGATTTTTGTTTCATCATTGTGTCGCTATTTGCTTGAAGATGAGAAAAGATGTTGGTGTAAGATGACTTTCATTCATTATTTTGTTTTTTCTTGGTTATCAAACACAAGACAAATGTAGGTAAACCTTTGTTTACGATTGTGCAAATTTGCATTTCCTATGAGACTTGCATTAAGATTAATAAAAGAATAGAGGAGTTATGTATGGCAAAATTATGGATCTGGTAGGGCTAGATTTCACTTTGATTCTTTCATTTCTATTCAAGAACAATATTTCTCTGCAAATACAGCCAATCATCGTCTTCGTCTCCTAACATTTTGGTTTAATCGATTGGAGTATAAAGAAAAAATAGACAAAGTCCCTCCAGTCCAATTTCGACCATTGTATATTTTGTGATGAGAAAATAATATGTATTTATCTGAGACGTCCATTTCCTCCCAAACACCCAAGATGGAAAGTGAGACCAATATATGGCGTTTATTTCTTTGTAGCTGGATTGCTATGGTTCTATCAAACCAAAAGTCGAAAACAAAAGTGAATAGAACAAATCAGTGCACTATGTAATGACTTCATACGGCAATTTTTATCATCCTATTCATGTTGATTTGTTAGGTCTCGTATTGAATGTGATTTTATGGCTACTATTCAAAATTGATTATTTTGTTCTTGTTTGGTGGACATTTATACTTCATTGTCTGATATATTATTGAATGGATAATTGGATATGCAAGTGAAATGTAGGTGTATCCAGTATACTTGGTAAAGCAAAAGTTGCCCTCCATATTTGAATATTACCATTATTCCCGTAACCCCCGGTTTTAAATGTATAAGATATAGCATATTTTATAGCTTATTTGATATTTCAGAAATTTGTGGAACTTGTGTCTCATTTAAACCAAATTGATTGAATCTAAAATTATAAGTCATCCAGATTTTATCTATCAAATATATTAAAGTTTAAAAATTCATAGTTATAACTCAGGAATATATTTACCCAGTGAAGGAATTAATGTTTTTTGATTCATTGAGAAATTTTGGTCATTTGTAACTCTCCATATATGAACATCAAAAAAAATATAATTGAAAAGTAAGTAAAGGTTTGGACTTTTTTCCTTCTAATCTTTTTTTTTTCTTCCATAAAGATCATGTAATTCTTTGATTCTGAATGGAAATGCCTGACTGATATGTAGATTAAGCAACTGAACTATAGCAGTTAATTAATCTCGAGCTATTTTGCTTGGGCAAGTGTTTGTATAGCACAGTCAATGAAAATGATTTAATTTTTTAAATCCAATAACATTGCTTTATTAGACCAGTAGTGATTCTCACACAGAAGTTCTAGGGTTGTTGTATATGCCGAAAGTTGAGTTTACATTATGAAGCTTTTGATTTTTTTTTTTAAATTGCATGTTCATATCGTATTAGTGTGAATACGCCTCGAAACCAAAGTCTCTCCATATCGCTTCATGTATAGACTGTACACATCCAAAGTTTTATGGTCATTTTTTTATAAAATTCTAAAAAATGGAAGGAAACGTGAGCTCACTATTCTATTTCATGCCGTAGAATATTTATATATGTATGGGCATGGATTATAAAGGAAAGAAATAATATTTACAACATATAGGTTAAAATCGACTTTTGAAATTTGAAGGTCGATATAATGAGAGGATGAAACTTGTGTAAGACTCCATCCAGAAGTATGTATTTATGTGTAAGAGTACATGTACATGAAATTCAGAGCAAAACAAACAAATTTGCCATACCTTTATTGAAAATGTCAGTTTGAGTAGCTGCTTCTTTGGTCAAAAGACTTTGACATGTGTCAAAATGATGTCTTTTTTATTTTCTACACAACTTATTAACTATTTTGCCACAAATATGCCGCTCTTATGAATTTCTTCTAGTCCATGTAGTAAATGTTAGCTTGTAATACTGCAGATGAATAGAAAAATCAAAGTATTACTTGGATATTAACACTCTTGAGGATTTCGATATTTGAATATCAGCAAGACGATTTGTGTTGTTGTAATTGTTATTTTATTGTTTTGTATCTTTTTTTTCTATGTATCACCTTTCTTTATTGGCTATCGTATAGTTTGTAGTTAGAGTATATTATGACTGTTTCTCATGCGAAAATAAATCTACGTCCTCATATCAATCCCAAATATGGTTTATGCCATTGCCTTATTCTCTTTGTTTTCTGATGTGGATTTTGAATGTTGAACAGCACTTTGTACTATTATTCTTATACCCCCCCCCCCCACTCTACACACACACACACAAATAACAAATTAATGTTTCAATATTCTCCTCATACCGACTCCTGTACTACATAAAATTTTAGACCAAAACTGACTCTTGAGTTACAATACTAAAGAACTTCAAGCACACTGGTTTAAAAAAAAAATGATTGGAAACGTTTTGAGCACCATATACATGTACTTGCACCTTGTTTTTGGCTAACATACATATTTATTTGATTTTACAGTATGTGTGCGTATGTGTGCGTTGCGTGTAATTGGGTCTTTACAGACGTGTAACAATCAGATAAGTTTAATTACGTCTAGGGACCGACCTTAACATCCCATCCGAAAGACGCGACTTGGTATCGAACAGGGGTACGCCCAAGTGTGTTTGTAGGCGAATACAGAGACCTGACCAAGCGAGTTTATGTGTTCTTGTGAGCAAGTGCATTCATGGACTGTTCTTTTTTTCATCTTGATCTCTCCTTCTTAAATGTACTTCACATCTTCTCTACAAGTCATCCCACCACCTCTTCTTTTCCTTTCCCCATCTTTATGTTTTCTCTTTGCCTCTCTCTCTCTCGTTCTTTTAGTCTTTCCGGTGTTTCTTTTTCTCTTTCTTCTTCATTTCTCCCGTTTTTGTCATGCTCCATCTTTCTCTCACATTTTGTTGGTTTTGTTTCCTTTATCTCTTTTCATTTCTTGATTTTTCTTTCTCCCCCTCTCTCTCTCTCTCTTAATCTCCCTCTCTCAATCGTTTAATTCAGAGATGAACAAGTTCTTTGATGAGCTTTTCCTTATTCTAAACCAGTGGTTTTCCACCAAGGGCTTTTGGGGACAGGATTTCAAAAAAAGGGGTGATAAATGAATAAAAATCTATTCAAATTATACGACCGTAGTTATAGAATTATGTGATTGAACATTTTGAAATACACAACACAATTTCAACCTTCCTACTTCCTACCTTTTTCTAAATTGAGCTACATATCTCTCCCCCCCCCCCCCCCCCCCCCTCCCTGCCAAAAAAGAAGAAGTGCTGTCCCCCCTTCAATTTGGATTTAGGAGGTCCCTGTCCTGAAAAGGTACATGCTGCTGGAAATGTGGGCCAAACAGTTTAATATCACAGCTTTAGACGAAGGAAAGAGTTTGAGTTCTTGAAATTCAGAAAATATACATCCACACATTCTTGATTCTGCTGTGAAACTGCATGTTCAAATCATGTGATGAGTTTGAATTGTAACAAGATCATAACATAACAAATAAAGAGAAATGGAAAATATTGAATTATATTGAATATATACTTTTTATCAAATTTAAATACAGCATAGTGATGGAGGTTGCCCAACCTTATTATTTGAAAGGCACCGAATACACTTGAAATCAAATGCTGAAGGCACTCGTGTGGAACATAATTAAAAAGGAGATCTGCATTATGAACACAGGACAAGAAGTAAGATAAAAAAATTAATCATATGCCAAATTAAAAAGATACGTTTTAAGATTATTTACACTTCACGATCTGCAATTAAGAATCTCTTGACGAAGAGCATTCCACAGCGAAGGCCCGACATGAGCAAAGGTTCTTTATCCCACTTAGACGGTATTGAACTTAGGAAGAACAAGAAATCTGCAGTTTTGAGAGCGTAAAGATCTGGACGGAATGTAATGATTTATCAAAGTAATGCTGTACTGTGGAGCACAGCCATGGACACAATGAAATAAAAGCAAAAGAATTGTAAAAGCAAAGGAATTGTATTACATGTATGGTACATGTACCGCAAACTCATAATGCAATTTACAAGACAATAAAAATATACACATATTGTCTGTCGAGAGCCTGTCTGACGATCAGCAGGCGATATGACATGACACTGACAGGGCCAACTGAGCATAAGTTAACATGTTCACCCTAAAGAAAGCACCAATTATTGATAGAAGTTTATGAATAACTATCAGATCTAGAAATCACTGACATTGATGAATGCTATTAAAGAAGGGGGCACCAATCCTGTTCATCAGTCCTCCTACATTGGTATCACATTTGTAAGTTATGGGCAACATCCTTCAGACCCGGGCCCCATCTTACAAAGAGTTGATACTATCGCAACTACATGTATGTACATGTACATAAGAGAGGTAGGAGACTGCAAACTTGCAATTTATAAAGATGAGTTGCGGTTGATCCAAATCAATCGCAAGCTTGCAGTCTCCTATCTCTTATGTACATAGTTGTGATTGATATCAACTCTTTGTACGACGGGGCACAGGAGTTATAGCTGACTGGATGCTAATGAATTCCATCTACCATTCCTCTATCCTCTGTCATCTTTCCTGGTCCTTATTCTGATATAAATTCCTATAAACTTCACTGATGTGAGTATTATAATTTGGTGGAATCAAGTCTAGAAGTAACGGGATAAGAATAATCCCATCCACTGACATGCCTCTGTCATCTACCCTGGTCCTTGTTCAGATATAAATGCCTATTAACATCACTGATGTGAATATCATAAATCGGTGGAATCGCATCCGGAGGTGGGTCGATCTCTGGTGGGCCTCTTGCATGTTTATCTGCAATGAGATTTTAAAAAGGAAATTTTACATTTGAACATCTTAATTCTCAATATATATTTCTATTCCACATACAAGACAAATAACTGCTAAAAATATATTTGAACTTTGATACTACAGTCAAACCTGCTTTAGTGACCACCTGTCTACAAAGACCACATTTTTTGTTTCCCTTGAAAATGGTTTCTCATTGAAACATGTACTATAGGAACTGTCTACAAAGACCACTTTTTAAGTTTCCCTTGGGCAGTTGCTATAGACGGGTTTGAATGTACTACTTATAGTTTAATAAGATCTAAAGTTATCAAATTTAATCATTCTGATTTATAATGATGTACAGTATATTGCATTATTCCAGCTTCAGACGAGCATTCAGTGAATATCTCCCTACAGCAGCTACCCATTTATTTCATCAGGGGCAACAGAGGCAAATGAAGACTACCAGTAATGTTTTGCCAAAGGACATTAGGGCCATGGCAGTGATTCAAGCCCATATCATTATACAACAGTCCATCAACATATCCACTAGACAATGTAACCTCTTCCAAAACTGTTAAACCAAGTACTCCATCTATAAGATCAATGCGAGAGGGGGGGGGGGGGGGGGGGGGGGGGGGGGGGTTATACAGTCAAACCTGTCTATAGTGACTGCCCATGGGAAACACAAAAAGTGGTTTTTGTAGACAGGTGGTCTTTGTAGACAGGTTCCTTTAGTACATGTTTCAATGAGAAACCATTTTCAAGGGAAATAAAAATTGTGGTCTTTGTAGACAGGTGGTCACCAAAGCAGGTTTGAATGTACTTGTAAATTATCTTGATTAAGTAGTAATCAATACCCTCCTGGCTCTCCAGACGTGACATGCGTTATGTAGATGATCATTGCTAGACCACATGTATTTGCAGCCTAGTTGACCGGCAGTCCACAGGAACAGCAAACTTTCTGACAGGTAGCCTATCTGAGGCTTCACAAAACCAATATTTTGGGTCTCATGGGTCATGATTGATATAATCACTACACTCACCGGTCAGTGTTTTCATAGAATCGGGAGGTGGCGTTATGAGTAGACTGTGCGCAGCGTAGAAGACATAGATGAACGAGATGCAGACACACACATAGACGGGAAGAGCTAAAGCCCAGTATCTGAAAATCAAGTAATCAAAGACAGAGTTGAAGGCATTACTATTTAACATTTTGGTATAGTCAGGAAAGCAGTTAATTTGTTCTAAAATGTGTCTTTGAATCTAAAAGAGAAAAACCATGAAGGTTGTAAAAAAAATCTATGAACCTGTAGAATGGAAAAGATACAAACTGATTATCTCCAATATAAAAATTCTATTTTTAATTTAATACAATTTACTTGTTAATATATAACCATAGATATTGACATAACTAGATAAATATATTTTCAAGGAATTTCATACCAATGTCAACACCAGGATCATTGCTCCACATAACCATTTTGGACTGATTTTTTTTAACAAGCATTTTGTTTTGTATTTAAGTACTTTTAAAGGTATATTTTTACTTCCCCTAGGATTAAGCACACATCATTAATAATAATTATAATAATAATAACAAGTGAATTTTTATATAGCAATCTATATGGATCTACATCAAGCGTATTTACATGTTGATGTGAACAAAAAAGTAATAACAATGAATAAAGAAGAAAATTGACAATTGCTACATGTACATGCCATTTCTGATCCAAGATTAATTGCAAATACTGATGTAATACCAGAAATAAAATGTAAAAGCAGTTCTAAATGACAGATTACCAAAGGATTGATGTGGAAAAAGACGAATTACAAGACAATGAAAAAGAATTACTTTTGAGGCCAGTAGGTCAGCCCAGCAGAATTAAGCCACTCATCTGGAACAAAAGCCCATATCACATAAAGTCCTGCAATTGAAACCAAAAGAATAACAAATGGACAGTTACTTTTATTGTGAATTCTTGGAAATAAAATACATATGTACATGTTCAATACAGTAACAGAATACTTACATTCTTGGTCAAGGGTGATTTGCTAAAGGAAAATAATGAGAAAGGCATGCATTGCATACATTGCTGGAAATACTTGAAACTTGAATATCTGACAGGAAGTGGATGATCGAGAGGCTCAAAGGAGATGCGATGGCTCAGCGGTAGAGCAATGGTCTCGTAACCGGGAGGTCCGGGGTTCGAAACCAAGTTGATGTGCTAGTGCCCTTTGGTAAATATTTGGTAAATATCTTGGTGTAATAGTCAATTCTTCTATGTCACTTGAAGTTGAACACATGTTCCAAATTGAGATTAGACAATATCTGCCCCCCCCCTCCATCCACTCAACTGCTTGTGATACTTCTCACCTTGATAATTGCAAGTCATTTCTCTTTAGATTACCCAACAGCCAAACTAACCGCTTGCAAAAAGTTCAAAATGCTGCTGCTCGTCTTGAGACTAACTCGAGAAGATTACATGTATCTCACATATATCACTCCCATCCTTATATCTATTCATTGGCTCCATGTTCAACAGCGTATAATCTACAAAATTTTGCTCTTAACCTATTATGCACTAGATAACCTGGTCCAGAGTATATTTTGTCCCTTGTAACAACCCATTCCACATTTCTTTCTGGTTTACATTAATCTAGTGATATTAGGCTCAAGGAAATCCGGACTAAAACAACCTGGAGAGGGGGGGGGGGGGGGGGGGGGGGGGGTAAAGCATTAGCATCATCAGCTCCTTGAACAAGTTACTCTTTTCTCTTCAAACAGCCATTACCGTTTAAGTTTTGAAGCCATACTTAAGATCTTACATATATTAGGTATGTTACAATGTGTGTGCTTTCGCCATGAAGGTTTCTGCCATGGGGCTGTTATGCACTATTGGAGACCAATTTGGATAGCCTAGGTAAATGTGATCTTTTGATGGGCTGATTAGATTTTTGTTTCATGATTTCTATTGGATGAGAAGAATGACATTGTTATCTTTCATTTCATACTAAACTTTTTATGATTTATGTTTTCGGCAGTTTGTTTTGCTGCACTGTTTCACAAGAGCCGTGTTTAGTGCCATTCTGTACCCTGATCCCACCTACAGGATTTAAAAAAAGTATCTAGGATGATTGATTAACATGTGAATTTGCTTTTGGTGAAATTTCAGCAAAATCTATCGATTAGAAATATGTTTTTTTTATGAGGAATGTGAAAATGTCATGCATAAATGACGGCCGAATTAGCATCTTTTGTGTATTTACATACATTTTGGGGCAATTTTATGTAATGAAATAGAATCTTTCGGTCACATATGAGATCACAACTTTTGGTTTAAAAACAAAGGAAAACAAAGCAATTAAATACATGATTTCCGGGCGTTTAAAATTGGCATAACGTTCTTATTACTGGGGCTATTACGATGAATGAGGCATCAAATAAAAGGTCTTATCAAGCTCTGTCTAATGGCATAAAGCAAGAGCTTGAATTCTGAGATTTAATTTTTTTGTAACGTCCCTACATATATGCTTGCTGGTTACAATTAAGTTTCTCTTTTTAGATTATAAGTTTTACTTCATTGTCTTCATATATTTTTATTGACTTACTTCGCTGAATATATGCAAGTGGTTGAGAAGGGCTGTGTCTCTTCGATTCATGCATATTCAGCAATTTTGAGTGAATGGCGCTCTATAATATGAATATGAATATTTGCCGCGCTGCTACTGCCAAGTTGAATCAACGATACAACATGGATGAATCGTCGGGTTAGGACGAAGAATCACCCTTTTCCCATCAAAGACTTCTTCAAATTATAATTTCGAGTGGTTGGAAAGATGCCCAGAGGAGACGAAAAACATTGTAAGCCAAGATTATAATTACTACCTCTTTACATTGCGAAAAAATGTGACCCAACCCGCCGTTTGAATCGTTTTCATAAACGGGCTGTGGAGCTTCGACCCCTTCAGCATCGGAGCCCCCTGTTACAATCAATGTAGATTTTAGTTCTCAATAAATTTATCAGCTTTCTACCACACTTCTAATCCTATTCAGTTTTAACTAAAGAAAATGAGTAGATCTAGTTACCTTTCAAATATCAACAGGTTCGATTAAACTGAATTCCTAAAGTGCGTAACACAGGACTCAATACATGGGACTGAACAATCCAAATTGGCACCAACTACTTTGCGAACATTGTTATAACTGTTATATTCTAGCACTCACCAAACCCTAGAATTGACCCAAGATAGAGGACGAATCCATAAATCGCCCTTTCGGGTGTTGGCGCAGGATTGTTAGCCATAATATATCAGTTAACGTAGAATTCAGCGTCCATTCTGAATCTCAAAAAGCTCGTTCTTTACCGTAGATGGGGATCTCCCTTATGACGTCATCGTGACCAGTACAGTGTACAGCTAGCAGTATACGCTTCAATGCAAGGAGTTTCATGCTCATGATCTATAGGGAGATAGATGAACTAATATTTTGTGTGACTTTAATGTCAACAAAATCTTTCCCCTCTTGTAGGACAGAAACCTTTTACAACATAGCTAGCTTATATAATGTACCCCAACAATTATATACATGTTGTAGTTCCTTTTAGTACAAATCTTATGAACTGGTAATAGGCCTTGCCCGGTATTTTGATTTGACCTTTCATCCATTTATACAATTTTATTATAGTTGTGTTAGTAAGTAGAGTTATATGTAATAATTCATACTTGTTTGTTTATTCTATTTACCCAGACAATGTTTTTTCATATGTTCGAAGGTACCAGGCTCGATAAGCATTCATGCTATTTCCTGGTTCCTGAAATCATTTTATGTTATTTTGGGTTATATGACTGTTTACACTTGTTGTTATGTGTATGCTCATGATTGGATTATACATTTCAAGTTAAAGTTCAAGTTCAAGTTCAATACTGGGTCGTCCATTTCCTAAACTTAGAAGATTATGCATCTATGTCGCTAGTATAGAACTGCCACAGCCAATTAACCATGCATGGATGCAAATTAAGGGAAGGGGGAGGGGTACCTAACATTTATCTCTGACGCACGATCTCCCTTTTCATCATAAAACAACACTCCGCGAGGGAGTTACGTGGAGAAAATACGGAAGTACATTGACAAACATGGCGTTTACAATGGAAATTTGACCATGCCTGAGTGGCTTTCGTTGTCACTGCATGCTCGTAAAATATTAAAAAAGGTCGTGAATAAATGTGCCACGTATAAGCAGCTGTGGTCATGGTTATTACTAATAAGCCATTTTCGTAATGAACTAAACGCCTCAGTCTGTGAAGGACCTTGATACGAATGTTTCCATTCAACTGTCACGAATAATTGTATGTCAATAGTTAGAATGTAAAATGCATAATATTACTTGTTGTTAGGTAGGGCAAGCCATGAAGTGTTTCTTATACATACCTAGCAAAATAACGACGTGTATGCAATTCGCATTCTGACTGTTGGGATAACACTGTGTATGGACAAAGAGATACCAGCTATAATCCTCCTTGGAGTGGATTCGTCGGATCATAATAATGATGACGTATTCATCGCAGTTACCATAACAGTTGAATGAAACAATTCATATCGAGGCACTTCACAAAGACGTATGCAGTACATTTGATTACTTTACACAAAATTGCCTGTTCAGAGTGTCAAATTAACGTTCATTTTTTTTAGTTTTGCATCAATCATTCATTATCGATGCGATGCGTGCGCATGCGGAATGAAGAGATTATAGGTTTTGCAATTGGAATCTAAGTATGTGAAATTAGACTATGTGTTATGTCCGAATCAGTCAGTTTGTGTTTTTATCTTTTAAATGTCCGAATCAGTTAGAAAGAAGACTTTCGTTTAAAAAGACAATATATTCTTAACCTTGATATAGGCGGATGGTATAATTATCTTTTTCTTTCATTTTTCTTTTCTTTCATTTTCAAAATTCTGCGGTGGATACAACGACTTATAAAGATTTTTTTATTGGCAGATTGGGACAAGATAAAAAGACCTTGAATTTTCTGATCATGGGAGGCAGAGACCTCTATGACTTGTGTATTTATTGTTATTATTATTATTATTATTATTATTATTATTATTACATGTGTTATTATCGTTATTATTATTATTATCATCATCATCATTATTATTATCATCATCACTGGCATATTGAGTGCTATTAAACCACGCACATAATATAAAGACTTCGTAATAATCAAATTTTAGTTATCTATGAATGGAATTGAAATGAGGAGGAGGGGGTGGGGCGGGGGCTACGTACGACCCCATCCCTCCACTGGCTCGATCGCCTTGTTCACTCCATTCCATTCACCAAGTACACCAGTGCTTATGCAGTGCTCTCTTGTTGGCCGGGCAAACCCTGAAAGAAATCTATACCAGCACCATCAATTTGATCTTTTTTTTCTTAAAAAGGCAGGTTTGCATATTGTTTTTCCGAACGTTCGTAATTAAAATCGTTTGTTTTTCTGAAGTTTCGTAATTTCGAAAAGTGAAAGGGCTCATAACTCATCATAGATTAATCTAAAACAAGGCCTTTTTACCTCATCAAAAAAAGGGTTCGTAATGCCAAAAATTTGGATAGGGTTTGTAATTCCAAAAATGAAATAGGATTCTCAATTCCGACCCCCCCCCCCCCAAAAAAAAAAAAAAAAAAAAAAAATCCCCGAAAAATGAATAGGGTCCCTGATTTATAAAAAAAAAAAAAAAAAAAAAAAAAAGAACCTTCGGAAAAAAACTACCCCCCCCCCCCCCGAAATGATAAACATGTTTTTGTGATGACTCTAAAGGCGATTAAATCCTATACAAAGACGCGCCATATTATTTGGTGGCCGTTTGTCTGCCTGCACATGTGCCGTGCATGCCTTGCATAATAGAATGTATATACACCCCCATCGCATAATGAAGATTTAGGTACGGCCTACTGACTCTTATTAAAGCTACACCGATATGCAAACACTAGGAGATTACGTAATAAATTTCAAATAGTAAAGGTGACTTCGGGGCACATATAGAATCGACACGATTAGTGGAACTAAATCTTTATAGTATAACATTTTTACTTTACAATACTGACTTTGTATTGATTTTGTGTGAAATTTTACTTTTTTGTTTAGAATTTGCCCTCTCCTCCTTTTGCTATCCCTCTCTCTCTCGCTCTTTCTCTCTGTCTCTGTCTCTGTCTCTGTCTCTGTCTCTGTCTGTCTGTCTCTCTATCTCTCCCTGTATCTCTCTCTATAATATAATAGTTGTGAAATAGTCACCTAACTTCCAAAAGTGATTAATACAAAATTCATGTATCAGATTTCTGGGCAAATATAATGGAAAAATGTACAGCAACATTTAATTATCATTCAATTGGAGTGAAATATTTCAGTTGTGCATTCTTTTGTTTTTAGTTCTATGGTTCAAATAAAACTGTTGTTCACAATAGACTGATTAGAAATCCTGGGCCCCGTCTTATAGGTGCAATAATTGACCTGAATCAATCGCAAGTCCTCTAATCAATAGCAAGTTTGCAGTCTCCTATCTCTTATGTACATAATTGCGATCGATATCAATCGCAACTGTTTATAAGACGGGGCCAAGAAATTACGATAGTGGTGTATAAGCTTAGCCTTTATACAGGGGCGGATCAAGCTTTTTCTTAGGGGGGGGGGGGTTGACCCAGTGGCGGATCCAGGATTTTCCAAGAGGGGGGGGGGGGACGAAATTTGAAAATCGCGCCGACCAATATTTCAATTTTTAAAAATTACATTTTTCCCACTTGGCAGCCCAAGGGGGGGGGGGGGGGTAAACCCCTGAACTCCCTAGATCCGCCCCTGAATTATAGGAGTTCAATATGCCTTTGATTAGGGGAATAATTTTCTTTTAACGTTGCCTTCTTCATCTCACTTTCTATCCGTCTCTTTGTTCATATAAAACGTTTTTCGATGGCCTTTTATAACCTCTAAAGTCAAAGGAAGTTTTAGGTCATTTTTTTAGCACAACTTATCCTTATTAACTACCGGAGTGATAATACACTTTGAAAGCGCTTTGACAAGTTACTTACTTGATACAGCTTTTTACAAAAGTGAATATCATTATAATTTTGTTAGCATTACCATTACATCCTCTTTCTCTTCTTCTTCTTCTTCTTTCTTCTTCTTCTTTCTTCTTCTTCTTCTTCTTCTTCTTCTTCTTCTTCTTCTTCTTCTTCTTCTTCTTCTTCTTCTTCTTCTTCTTCTACTTCTTCTGCTCTTCTTCTTCTGCTCTTCTTCTTCAGCTCTTCTTCTTCTATTTCTTCTCGTTAGTATTGCTAATACTACCATAGACCCTACATGCAACACAATTTTTTTTAAATAACTATTATCACTGCTATTTCCGTCGTTGTTGTTGATGATGATGATGATAATGATGATAATGATAATAATATTACCACTTATGATGATGACAATAATTATGATAATAACAATAATAATAATAAAGCTAATGATAACGATAATAATATTATTAATAGTAATAATAATAATAATAACAAAAATAATGATAATGATAGTAATAAGTTATCATTATCATTATTGTCCACCCACACACTATGATTATTCTCTATACAATGCAAAGAAATGCCTATCTTTAACCCCAAAATTAAAAAACCTGAACATGATCATTTTGAAATTGCTTTCATCAAGTTCACGGGATTTCCCACAAAACAGAAAAACATTTTCGGAATTCATTTAGACTATATACTTTAAACTTTATAAAATGAAAATAATGCATGAGAGCTTAAAGCCATAGTTGCAATTGCAAGTATGAAATAAAAGTCTATTCTTCTAGATGTTGGTTCTAATCTTCCCTTATTTTGTACTCGGATTCTAAAGCATTTTAATGTTTATGTATAGATAGTGACATTATGCTTTAGGCACTGATTGGTGAGGTATGTTTACTCATAGACGTATTACGTCTATGGTTTACTGTACTCGGTCAGCACGTATACGCCATCATTTTCTAGAGAAATTATATTCAATAGCTTTATTGAAATGGCTCAAGCTGCCATTGATAGACCATTGTTATTTTATTTTATTATTGATATCCAGTGGCTAGTAAAGCAATACGTTTGGGTCATCCGGTTTTTTAATTTTTAGCAAAACATTAGCATAAGAGAGTCAATCGACTGAAAAGACGGTGGTCAAACTAAATCGTTAGGAGCCAGAGAGGCGTTAAAGGTACTATGTCCCATTTGCAGGCCAAAAAAATGAAAAAGTTGAATTCCAACTGCATTTGAAAGATAATACTAATTTAGAACTCCCCTAAAAAAGGTAAGGCTTAAAAATGTCTTCAAGTGGGAAAATAACGACTATTAGTTGTCAAATCGACTTTAGGGCTATAGAGCCCAAAAGTAATAGTCTTGACTTTCAGACAATTATTGTACCGAATGGTCATACATTTTATGCTGCGCAAAGATTCAATGAGTTTAATCTTGGCCATCACAATAAGTGGGTTATTGATGTAGAAAAATGCTCATGTATCATTTACAACTCTTTTCATGTATGTTATTACCAAAGAAGGAAAAAAGCCAGTCAGTCACTCAATAGTGTCTGACAGTGAAGTCTAGCGAGTAAACGGGTTTCCTTGCATAATTTGAATATGAGGACACTGCTAACGTTTAAATTTCACAGATAGGACATACATGACATATTCATAATTCCTGCAAAGTTCTACAGAATTTGAGGTTGGCTGCAAAAGGGACATAGTAACTTTAAACCATAACAAGTTATTCGCCTAATGGATTTATTGGTCGTTAGACAAACGCTTGGTCAGAATAAATGATAACTCTGACCCCAAATCCGGGGATGGACAAGATAATCAAAGGACTTGAATTTTCACCACCCTACAAATTCATAGCGTAATATACAAACATACTTTTTGAAATTCATGAAGGCCATGTATATTTTCAAAGGGAGAAGTAAGAAAATTAAGAACAGTAACTGCATTTCAAGGCAAAAAAAATCAAAATGTTTCATAAGACTGTCTTATAGGGGAATTTTTAAACTATAAATCAAACACTGGAGCTGAGTGAAAAAGAAAGAGAGAAAGAAACTAAAAGAAAGAGGGAAACCGAGAGAGAGAGAGAGAGAGAGAGAGAGAGAGAGAGAGAGAGAGAGGGGGGGGGGGGGGTAGATAGACCAAAGGGGGACAGCGAGTGAGGGAGAGAGGCAGATAGAGAGAGAGAGAGGGGTAGATAGACCAAAGGGGGACAGCGAGTGAGGGAGAGAGGAGAGGCAGAGAGAGAGAGAGAGAGAGAGAGGGGGGTAGATAGATCAAAGGGGGACAGCGAGTGAGGGAGAGAGGCAGAGAGAGAGAGAGAGAGAGAGAGAGAGAAAGAGCCAAGATAAAAAGTTCATTTCCCTAAAAAATTGTCTTTGTGTAAATTAAGTTTGGCTGAGTTCGGTGCGAGAACAGCCGAACATAATTAAATAAGGCTATTACTACTAATTATCATTCAATTCATAAACGTATAATGTTATGAAAAGCAGAAAACGTTCCTCTTTGATACAAAGAATGATTACAGTGTGTATTGTATTACCTTGTTGTTAATGTATGATGCGATCCGCCCCATGACCGAGTGGTTTGGAGACACAATGAATCACTCTTGCTACATTATGACCTCTTATTCTGCGCCTGCCTGCGTCTGGAATAATAAATGACATCACGAAGTGAGCAACTCGGTCTAAATTTATTATGAACAATCACCCAACTATACCCATCATTGGCTTCCCCCACCAAATAACGGTTATGATTCTCAAATCTATGTAATCCCGAACGGTGTTTTTCCTTCGAGAGTTTAGTCCTTTTTCATTGAAGCAATAAACAAACTTTACCGAATATTTGTTTGTTGATTATTATATGCCCTGATATTGTTAACCGTTCAATGAGGTCGATTGGAGTTTCAATATGCCTCCATGCGCACGTCGCACACGTTTGCAATAACCTCTAGTCACAGACTCCGGAGCGCCATTTTGGATTCCACACGTCGTATCTGCTCGGAGGTTGAAAGTCCGAAGAAACTTGGGCATAGTTTTCTCGAAATTGCACTTTTACGGACAAAATTTCACATAATCGTGTAGGTGAGACCCTGAGCTTTCATTTCGTACCCAATTTGTTTCATACTTTGCTGTGAATCAAAATATTTTGCCTTGGAAAGATTCCGAGCTGATTTCGCTCTTGAACAGGAAAATAATAGTCAAACTGGTTGGTAACATATTATTGGGCGTATGCAGTGCGATGCGTGTATTGAGTTAACACTGCTGTGTGTATCCGACACACTGGATCGTAGGGCATCAAATACGTGTGGAGCGCGCGAATGATTCTTTTTTGTCCAGCCTGAAATCTCTCTCAGAACAATAAGGTACGAAACACTGGCAAGTTTATTCTTATAAAACCCAATGTTTAAGGATCTGTTGATCTAATAGGACTCGTGAATACTCGGTTTTCATGTATCTTGTGATAGTTTCTTGATATTGGAAAGATGGGGCAACATATTTCCTCTTCATCCTAAATATTTTTGACGGGGATCCGGAGTCGGCTCAAGTTGTCACGTCATTAACTTCATACGTAAGTTACCGTACCGTGCATTGGCTATACGTCTACATCTTATAGCACATAACCAGGTTAATAAACTACGAGAATCTCGTGCGCCGCACGGACATAGGAGTTTCCAATCGCCCTAAACTCTCGCAAACTGGTGAGTTCTGTGCCCTTTTTAATCATCTCAATACTTCAAACTATGCCAAATCAGATATGGTTGTTTATCAAGGAGAGTGTTAGTTGTCCTGAATTATGAAATTTCTTCTGCATTTCCAATATTTTTTTGTTACTTGTTAGTCATCATGGACATTTTTTTTTCGGCGGTCGCATGGCATTAACGGTAACAGCTTTTGTCCTTCGATGGCAGTTTCCGCGCGGTGGGGTTCTTTCTCTATGATTGTTCCTCAAGATGGTACCCTATTTCATCATCCATGTTTTCACACTCTCCTTCCACATATGAATTTAGAGTCCTAAGTGATGATGATTGTGTTTATCTTTGGAATTCATGGATTAATGTCATCTTTTCTTGAGGACTTCATGTACTTAACCAAAGGGCATGAGTATGACCTTGTATTTTGTAGTGTACTTGTAGGTCACCTGTAAATATTTGTATAGACCAGGGTGCAGATAAATTATGGCCCATCAATGCTTCACATGTATGTTATTTCTTTTAGCTTCTTATGGACAGTGAGGGCCATGCTTTGTTTATAATCCCCCTTGTTGGGTATTGGCCTTTTAAATATTGGTTATCATGGTCAATTGGTCATTGTGGTTAAACTTCTAAATCTAGGTTATTTACTTGCCACTTGAGAAGGGGACTTCATAATGGAGGGTTGGGCTATGGGCCTGGGCATGCATGCTCAAAATGAATACAGATTGATGTGATTATTTTACTATAGAATTTTAATTTACATCTCTTATTTAGATATCACTCATTTGATGGATGTTAATCTTTTATAATAATATTTCATTCACATATGTGAGTGATGGGTGTTGGGGGGGGGGGGGAGGATTTAATTTTAGAGTTATATAGGGCCTTCTTCAATCTCTGTCCCATTTCCAATGGTTAAATACCTAAACTGCTTAGCAATGACGTCAAATTCTTTTCCCCCCTTGTTTGTATAATTTAAATCAATAAGTATATAATTTATTAATTTATTTATACATACATGTACATACATGTATATCAATTTATTAAGTTAATTATTTATGATTTATTCATTTGTTCTTTTATTTATTTATTTATAATTTATTAATTTTTTTCTTGGGGGGGGGGGGGGGTCATGCATGCACAGAAAGCCTCCAGCTCCTGCGATCATTTGATCCCTCTCCTATTATTCCCTTGATTTGTATTGATTGCCCCTAGTTTTAGGGGCATTTTTATTTTAGGAGGTAGGGGTGACTGTTTCCATTTTCCGGTAGCTTTGATACCCCCCTCCATAATAAACGTTGTGAAATGTTGAAATGTTATCAATCATAAAACAATGTTAAAGGTACAGTGTAGGCTTCTAGATAAAAGATTTAATTTTGATTAAAACAAAAATGTACTATTTCTGTACATTTGATAGTTTAAAAACTAAAATGAACAATTACTTACACATTTTATAAAATTTCTCTTTTTGTTTTAGTATTTTTCTAAACTCAGGAAAGACACAAGTTTTAAGTTGTTTCTTTATCAGCATGTTTAATAGCCACAAACATGCACCTTAAAGAGAAAATCCTTTGGTTTTTGGTAGTGATTCTGTTCTTCAGTAGCTGGTAGAAAGATGTTCACTTTGTGTTTTTTAACCCTCTGAGTACTGAATTCTTTCATTGCCATAGGCTTAATACAAGGACCACCTGGTTCCAGTAGGCAATTGGTTAAGGGAGTGCATTTCCAATATGTCCCATACATGACATTGAACTGAACTTTCAACAGATCGTTATTAGTGAGCATGGCCTTTACGTATGCACTAGCTAGCCCACCAACATGTGGACCACAAACAAAGATGTTTGGTTAACTCAGCATTGTGCAATAATGTACCTGCATATTTTGTGATGACAGCCTTCTTATTGGTGGATTTACAGGGGCAGTTGGTGTGCTTACATGTACAATGTAGATTGTAAATCATTGAAGTACACGTAGGAGTGATTTTGGACTCTGATGTCATTTTGCACAATACGGAACGAAACAGGGACACTTGTGCCATAGTGGATTTTATCGTCTGCTGTCCTCAAGTAGGCTATTCTGCCATTGACAATCCAGACAAGTACTGATGTCCAACCCCTCTTGCAGGCTTCTTGCGGATGTTCAATGTACTTTGTCAAAGGGGGCGGGGCTGGTACACCATGTACGGTGTGTAACTGACGTGGTTGACCATATATGAATTAGGGGTGGGGTGGATTACATTTAGAAATGTGAATCGGTGGAGTACATTTAGAATTGTGAATCGGTGGAGTATAGTGTACATTTCGAAGTGTGAGTCGATATTGATGCGGATCTTGGATAGTATAGTAGGGTAATTAACTTTGAACGTAAAGGTGTGAATTTACTGCACTGGTTAAGGCTATTTGTTTGTGGGCAAATTTGTGTGTCCTGGATTGTTTTGGGTGTACTAGGAAATTGTTGGTGCTCCCTGTTCTTGAATTCAGTCCTTATCGTAAATATTGAGTTGTCTCAGAAAAAGGCTGAGAGTTCAAAAGGAGGTCAGAACCCAGAAGGTCTTGGGGTAAATGACCATCTAAGATTCACATCAATTGGCCGAATTCACATTGAAATATTCTGTTCTCTGTAATTCCATCCCTTTCATTTGTTTGTTTGATATATTATATTTACATAAGCTAATACAATGGAATGAAACAAGACAAAAAAGAAAAAAAGAAAAGAAGAGAAGACAAAAATATATTAAAACAAAACAAACAGCACACACACACAGAATTGTTTATTTTACTAATTTTATTAAATTTATAAAATGGGATGAAGAATGACGAAATGTGTAATTATTATCACTTTTGTCCTTTTTACATGAAGGTCATTACTCATTACTCTTTCCATTGTTAGAAATCGTGTAGAACAGTGTATGTATAATCCCCCCCCCCCAAAAAAAAAAAAAAAAAAAAAAAATTGAAGAAATTGAAGAAAAGAAAAAAAGCATGATTTACAGCTACCTAGTTGGTATATTGTGTGTGTGTGGGGGTAGCACATTAGCACTGGTCTTACGGTACTTGCATTTTAGATCATGTAAATTAATGCAGTCACTGATTAGGAGAAGTGTGAAGGAGAGGGTCTTGATTATCATCTTCTTTTCTTATTTCTTCCCCCTCTCCCTTTCATTTCTTTCTTCTATTTTTCCTCATAGTTTGCCATTTGATGGGAGGGGGCTTTTTCCATGTACATGTGTCATGTAGCTACCCCACTAGCTGCCCGGTATTGCTTGCCAGATGCATCGGGCTTCACTTTAACCTCATAATGAGGAAATAAAAAAAATGGGAACTTTGAATCAGGAAGCATCTAAGCCATTATCAGATTTTAGACATCGAACCTCTTTATGTCGATCTGGGTGTTGTAGAAACAGACTTTGGATTCTGGGTGCTTTGAATCTTTGGTCTCTAATTTGCGTCCCGCCCTGGATGTACATGTATAGCCTACATTTTACCAGTTCTGTTAATTGACCTACATTAAATGCAGGGAGCCATTAACATTATTAATTAATACATTGGCTGCTTTCTTTACCTCCCTTGTTCGCCACACTCATAATTTTGCACAAAATAATACGCTCCAATTTAGGGAAGGTTGCTGTGTGCAACCATGCATGCACCTACTACATAGTGCAACACAAAGGCTAATTTGCAAAATTACCCATTTGCGGTCTTGATTGGCTCCATTACAACCCTTTAAACACTGGTAGAGATTAATCTTGCCCTTGAAACAGCTATATCTTGAAGGATTTAGATTTTGGTGTACATCTATCCCATGTTAAGATGTGGCACATGGACATCACTGGAGACTTAACACAGAGAAAACACCCGTCTGGCTCTCAACAGATATGTACACCTGTACTTATTTATCCCTTCAACAAGAATTGGTACATACAGTGCACATGAATCAAGAGTGCATGGTGACAGCTCTAGAGATATTGGTACGCCAATCATAATCCTGATATAGTCTGCACTCTGCAGACACTGGCTCTAATTTGACACCATACCACAATTCCTAAATCCTTCAACAAAAAACCTTATATCAGACATGTAACATTAAGTTTCCTAGACCTAGTAGCTCTGGATAAAAAAGAGCTTGTGGATTAATTCTTCTTTGAATAAGAGCAATACAATTTGTGTTTCTCATGTCATGGGCAGTCTGTTCCACATGACTGGTGCCACATTTCCAAATTTATACCTGATCGCCGTATAGTGGGTGGTTCGGCTGGAAGGGACTACAGGCATAGTGGATATACAGAAGATGACAGAGGATAATGGCACTGCTTCACGGCAAGAGGATCCTTGATAATATTAATCAGAATGCTGATTCCTTTCATAAGTATGTACATGTACTGTATGCAGCCTGTACTGCATGTAGCAATGCCTCCGTCGTTGAACTCTCGACCCCCTTTGGCAGTGAGTGTGAAATATATCAACAATCCTGACCACTTTGATCTAGAAAATTTCCTTAAGATTCCCCCCCCCCCTCTCTCTCTCTCTTTCTCATATTGAAAGGTTGGGCAATTTACACTGATCACATTTCTTGAGGTCTGTCTTAGACTTTGGTTAGGAGACCACAGAACTGCATAATGCTATGGGTTAAAGGTCGTATGTCTCATTTGCAGCCAACATCAACAACATTCTGTAGAACTTTGCAAGAATTATGCATATGTCACGTATGTCCTATCTGTGAAATTTAAACGTTAGCACTTAGCAGTGTTCTAATATTCAAGGAAACCTGTTTACTTTCTAGAATTCACTGTCAAACACTATTGAGTGACTGCATGACTGACTTTTTTTTCTTTGGTAATAATTAACGTACAGAAAATAAGCTGAAAAGGATACATGAACATTTGTCTACATCAATAACCCACTTTTTGTAATGGCCAAAATTAAAGTGATTAAAGTTGATTCGACAACTAATGGTCGTTATTTTCCACATTGAAGACATTTTCAAGCCTTTTGGTTTTGAGGGAAGTT